TGGGTGGACCCAGCCATCTATTCACCAATATGTTGTTTAAGTACAATACTAACCTGATTGACTTAGTTGTGATTTTTTCTCATTAGTTCAAAAACTACACGTTTCAGGTGAGTGTTTTATTTGAACAGTTCAACAGTATATTGGTGAGTAGATGGCTGCGGAACTCGCTGCGCTCGTCCCGCAGAGGTCCACCCATAAATTCCGCAACAATCCATCCGTCGTACTTGAATAACTTGTCACATTATGTTCCTAGATTTGTAAAGTAATATTATTAATTCCTGTTAAAAGGCAAATTGACAAAAAGTGGATAATCTTACAAATTATGACGTTATATAATAAGTTATTGTTCAAGTACAAATAAGTGGATTGTTGCGGAACTTATGGGTGGACCTCTGCGCAGCCATCTATTCACCAATATGTTGTTCAAGTACGATACTAACCTGACTCACTCAAATGTCGGCTATTCTCATTAGTCCAAAAACTACACGATTCAGATGGGTGATTTATTTGAATTGTTCAACAGTATATTGATGAGTAGATGGCTGCGGAACTTGCTGCCCTCGTCCCGCAGAGGTTTACCCATAAGTTCCGCAATCATCCACTCATTTGTACATACTTTAATACTAAAATCATAAAATTTCAATTTTTTTTGTTGTTGAGGTTTTGTGTCTATGGTCCTTTGGGATCCCCTATACTTCATACACTATGAAAAAAGGCACTCAGAAAAATTAAAACAATGATAAATCACCTCAAAGTGCTTACTTAACACGATTTTATTTCTGGAACTAATAAATCCAAATGAGCTGAAATTTGTAGAGATTGTAGTCCTTTGCAAGGATAAGAATCGCTGAAAATTTCAGCTTTTTATCTGTAATAGAATTCAAAAAATGATATTTCAAAGTTTAGTACCTTAATACTAAAATCCCCTATTTAACTTTTAAGAATCGAACAAATTTTGATGCATTTATTTCGGGACACCCTGTATAATCAAAATTAGGAACCTGGAATTCAATAAAAATTGAGGAAATTTCAAGAGCCTGGAATAGAAAAATAATTATTTTCCATATTTCTTACGAAAAATTCAGAAGAAAAACCAAAACGAATGAGAAAATAAGAAAAATTTGTGAATGCCAGAATGCCCACAATGTATTATTGATGTAATGAGTGTTATTTGATGTCATTTATTAACTGTAAAAAAATGTAAAATATGTATCATAATTTCCACTTTATCAAACATCTAGAAGCTCGTCCGTGCTCCCTCAACCAAACCCTCTATGTGCTCCAAAAAAAAACATCCTTCTCTCAACAAAAAAAAAACACCTTGAAACTTAACTGACGTCCGCAATGCCCCACCTTTAGTATACCTTGAAGCCTTCAAAATACTCTGCTTTTTACTCGGACGATCTCGTCTGACCAATCCAGTGTCTCGGGACGCTGTGGACATTTCAGGCGAGGACACAGACCGAGTATTATCCTCGGAACGAGGAAACTTGTGCGCTATCCAATTGGCCGTTAAATAAGGAGTGATATCGCGTAGTTCTCGAATATTGGGCGATGACGTATACATGTGACCCATAAGAGAGATTTGTTCTTGTTTGCAGATTTTGTCGAATTTTAATTTCATTTTTTCTACCTGGAAATAGTAGTAGTGCAATTTTTGTCCAAGTGCGTTTTAAAGTAATTATTGGAAAACTAACCTCGCCTACAGGACATCCTAAAATTTCAGCCAACTCTTCAATACTCTTGCTAGCTTCTTTTTTATTTTTCGAAAATGAATATAAACTTGCTATTTTGCTTATTATATTTATATGGGGCATATATCGGTCTTCTTGTTTTAAATATATTGGAGATATCATTCCTCTTCTTATTCTGGATCGGCCTCTTCCAGGATATTCATATTTTCTTCGTAAATCGTCTACGTTTACGTCATTCTCGCTGCGAGATCTCTTCAACTTCTTCTCGCCAAAGAAGTCTTCGAAAAATTCATTTAATTTTTTTACCTCTCCTTTTTTTGTTAAAGCTTGAGCTTCTTCGTAGTAAGGAGATACTGAACGACTTCTATTGAGGCTATCAAAGGAGTTAGCCTCTGAAATCGTACGAATTGGACTGATATCTAAAGCCCTTAAGTGAGGTTTTTTGGTGTAGGAATAATCAGATTTTCTTGTGGCTGCTAGAGGTAATGTTGCAAATTTTACTAAGTCAGTTTCACCAAAATATTCTTTGAAGTTTTGACAGGATTTTGATTGATGAATTGTTGGACTGTGAGATTCATTACTACTAACATCTTCAGATGCTTTGTATATTGTAGGCACATAGGTGTCAATGTCTTTGGCTTTTTCGAAATATTCAACCTTTTTTTGGACGTCATCCAGATTTACTACAGTTTTTGTTGATTCATCAGTGCTGTCGGTTTCACTGAATGAATTTGGTTTTGAGTCTAATAACGCGTTTGTTTTGGTTAAAGGTTGAATTATTTTAGCTTCTTTGGTTGCAATAGCTCCAAGCATTTCTTTACCAATTACCAATGGTAGAGCTAGTTTATCTTCTCGGCGTTTTTGGTTGATTTTTTCCAAAACTTCTTTGCTTATTGTTTGGGAGATTAGTTTCTTTTCATCTTCGCTTATCATTGAGCTTTCAGAATTTCTTCTTACAGTTAATTGATTAGGAGTTTTATTGTAACATTGTTTGGGAACTTCTACAATAAACTCTTTATTTTTTATTGGTTGATCTTCTCCATAAATCTCTTGCAATTGTCTTTTTAGGTTGTTTACTTGTTCCATGGATAAACTGCTCCAAATTCTACTGCCAATGCCATGAGTCAAAAGATTTTCATTGTCTAGTAGTTTTTGTCTGGCAGTTTTTACTCTGCCTTCCGATTGGCTGCGTCTTTCAGTTAAAATATTCGCCAGGTTTATTACTGAGTTTCCACGCCATAAGGGTTTGTAGGTGTCTTTGCTATAAGCCAGCTCACGTCTTTTGGAATTTTCACGATCGGTTTCTTCTTTTTTCAATCGTTCGAATTCTTCTTTGATGTTTTCGACTGATTTCTCTTTGATTCTCAAACCTCTGTCTAGTTCTTTTTTCCATCTAAATCTTTGAATGTCTTTGGGGAGATATAAAAAGCCTTTTTCTTTTTCATGATGTTTTAAGTCGTTATAAAGGTGTTTGAGTTCATGTTCAGCCCTTTCTCTAGCTCTCACTTCCATCCAGCGATCGTAATCAATAATTTCATTTTCGCACCTTTTGCGTGGCTTTAATGAAAATGTTTGTTCTAATTTACCAACCTTTTCAATGTCATTATAGAAATGATTTAAATCCCTAAACTTTTCACTAGGTTCAATAAATAAATCTTCACTTTTAAAAGAATCCAATGAAGTGTTGCTATGTTTTAAATCAGGACAAGTATACAAAGTCAACTCTTGGGGCTTGTGCAGTTTGAGTTGCATAATTTTCCTGCACGATGGTGATCTAGGTATTGGTGGTGTGAAAGTTCTTTTAACATCTGGCGATATTGGTCTAGTGGTTTCAGTAAAATATAACTTCTGTGGACTAGAACTTCTTCTAACATCCACCAACTTATTTGTTGGACTTGGAGTTCTTCTAATAGTAACCAAATTATCTTTGCGCTTCAACATTGGTGATATTGGTCTAGATGTTTGAGTAAATACCATTTTAGGAAGACTTTTGCTTCTTTTAGATCCAACTTCAGTTTTAACATCGTCTCTAAAAGTTACTGATTTTGGGCTGGTGCTTCTGGATCTCAGTAAGTCCAAGTTGATGAATTTAGAGTCACTCACGGGCCTGATGTGTTTCAAGTAGGTTTTCATTGCTCCAACGCTGGGTTCGGTTGTTGAAGGTCTTCTTCTCGATAGCTGATTGGTTTTTTCTATAAGCCATGGGTTTTTTGGAGCTGTATAAACCATGTCTCTTAAAAACAAATTTCTAAAGAAGTGATTGTCTTTTTGTTGTTTTACAGAATCATTTTTGGATTTTTTATTGTCAGGCTTTAATTTAGTTGGAAGGACTTTTTTGCTTGATGATTCAGTAGCTGGTTTTCTGGTGGTTGACTTTTTAATGTTTTTCATTCCTTTTTTGACTTCTGTTGGCGACAATAGTTGTTCAGATTTTGGTTTCAATGTTGGTAAAGCTAAATCAAACTTTTTCTTTTCTGTACCAAATGTTTTCATTGGTAGATTTTCTGTGGAACTTTTCTTACTTCTTGAAGAAGAAATTCTAGTACTGCTAGTTATTTTACGGCTAAATGTTTTGGGGTCTTTACTAGTACTCAATGTAGAAGTGATTTTTGATTTCATCTCTGGAGAAGCTGTAACTTTTTTCACTACACTCAACGTCTTCCTTTTGGGAGCTGGAGATAATTTGCAACTAATTTTATCTTTAAGATAACTGACTTTTGTTTTATCCAAACTAGACGTAAAACAAGTTTCATGTCTCTTACATTTATCAGTAGTTTTCACCTTCATGGTACTAATCAACCTCAAAGTACTATTATTTCTAGACGATTTTCTTTTTGGAGGCAATGGAACACTATCATCAACACTATGCTTGAAATTAGCAAAAGTTTTCGTTGAAGCAGGATAGCAAAAAAAATCCTGTTGTTGGGGAATCAAAACATTTTCCTTTGAAGACGGTATGATGCTCTTATGAATTCGGATTTTGGTCAGGGTTGGCGATATGGGGCAGAACTCCACCAGGTCCGTTTCTGTGAAAATGGTTTTATGTTTTATGTGTTTGATTTTTATGTATTAGTGTTTGTGTGCCTTATATGGTGATCTGAAAATAAATGTTTTGTGTTTATGAATAAATTGCCGTTAATTAAAAATAAAATTCCACTCTATTAGAAGCCCACCACCAAAGTACCAAGGTTGAGTAAAGAAGCTAAAAACCAGCATGCAAAGAATTGTTTATAGGTGGGTTCTAACAGCCATTTAATATTAAATTAGGCTGTTAGGACCCATTTTTGTTTAGTAGCTTATGGGTACCTTTGGGTCGTTCAGGAGCCAGCTTTCTCAAACCCTGGAAAGGTACATCTCCGCCCTTCTGGATTGTTTTATAAGCTTCTCGTTGTTCTTTGGGACTTATTTGGCTCGCAGCTGTTTCTTCTTTTCTTTTAAACACTAGGGTTGAGTCGCTTTCGTAGCCAGATTCTTTTAAGGCTCTACAATTATTGAAGTTTATTTTAAAGTTGGAATGTAAAAAAAGATTGACTTACTGGTTGATGAAACTTCTTGGTTTTTGGGGTGGTACTCTGCTTTGTTGCTCCAAATGCTACAAAACAAAAATATTTCAATAATCGAATAGGAGATTAATAGGGTCCAAGTCCAGATTAGTTGTTTACATGCCAGAAATATTCATGCTAATAAAAAAGATGTTTAAGTCAAGAGGTAATTGAAAAATACATCCAAACATCACCATGCAAATTTATTTCTGGAAATTTCAAATTTTTTTATGTTATTTTATATGTTATAAATTATTCTGAGATTTGAAGCCGAAATCTATGAAAAAAGGACGTCAGGAAATTGGAAAATTGATAAATTCACCCCAAATTGCTTAAATCGATTTTATTTCTGAAACTATAAGTCCAAATCAGCTGAAATTTTCAGGGATTGTAGTCCTTTACTGGAATAAGAATCGCTGAAAATTTCAGCTGTCTGTCTTTAATAGAAAAAAAGTATGGGTCTTCAAAGTTTTCAAAAATCCGAATCATAAAGTAGGTACCTTTAGTACTAAAATGATAAAATTTCAAATTTTTTTATGTTGAGATTTTGTGTCTAAATGATCATTGGGGATCCCCCAAACTCCATACACTAAATTATTCTGAGATTTGAATGATACTTCACCAAACTAGGAACATAATGTGACAAGTTATTCAAGTACAAACGAGTGGATTGTTGCGGAACTAATGGGTGAACCAGCGAGTTCCGCAGCCATCTATTCATCAATATGTTGTTTAAGTACCATACTAACCTGACTCACTCAAATGAGAGTTATTTTCATTAGTTCAAAAACTACACGTTTCAGGTGAGTTTCTTATTTGAATAGTTCAATAGTATATTGGTGAATAGATGGCTGCGGGACGAGCGCAGCGAGGTCTACACATAAATTCCGCAACAATCCACTTATTTGTACTTGAACAATAACTTATTATATAAAGTCAGAACTTGTAAGATTATCCACTTTTTGTCAATTCACCTTTTAACAGAAATTAGAGTAATGTTACTTTACCAAAGTAGTAACATAATGTAACAAGTTATTCAAGTACAAACAAGTGTATTGTTGCGGAACCTATGGTTGGACCTCTGCGGGACGAGCGCAGCTAGTTCCGCAGCCATCTATTCACCAATATGTTGTTCAAATACAATACTAACCTGATTCACTCAGTTATGAATTTTTCTCAATAGTTCAAAAACTACATGTTTCCGGTGAGTGTCTTATTTGAACAGTATATTGGCGAGTAGATGGCTGCGGAACTCGCTGCGCTCGTCCCGCAGAGGTCCACCCATAAGTTCCGCAATAATCCACTTATTTTGTACATACTTTGATACTACAATGATAAAGTTTCAAATTTTTTTATGTTGAAATTTTGTGTCTAAATTATCATTGGGGATCCCCCAAACTCCATACACTAAATTATTCTGAGATTTGAATGTTACTTTACAAAACTACGAACATAATGTGACAAGTTATTCAAGTACAAACGATTGGATTGTTGCGGAACTTATGGGTGGACCTCTGCGGGACGAGCGCAGCGAGTTCCGCAGCCATCTATTCACCAATATGTTGTTCAAGTACGATACTAACCTGACTCATTCAAATTTCAGTTATTCTCATCAGTTCAAAAGCTACACGTTTCAGGTGTTTGTCTTATTTGAATAGTTCAACAGTATATTGGTGAATAGATGGCTGCGGGACGAGCGCAGCGACCCATAAGTTCCGCAATAATCCACTGATTTGTACTTGAACAATAACTTATAATATAAAATCAAAATTTGTAAGATTATTCACTTCTTGACAGTTTGCCTTTCAACAGGAATTAGTGATGTTACTTCACCAAACTAGGAACATAAGGTGACAAGTTATTCAAGTACAAACGAGTGGATTGTTGCGGAACTAATGGGTGAACCAGCGAGTTCCACAGCCATCTCTTCATCAATATGTTGTTTAAGTACCATACTAACCTGACTCACTCAAATGTGAGTTATTTTCATTAGTTCAAAAACTACACGTTTCAGGTGAGTTTCTTATTTGAATAGTTCAATAGTATATTGGTGAATAGATGGCTGCGGAACGCGCTGCGCTCGTCCCGCAGTACAAACAAGTAGATTGTTGCGGAACTTATGGGTGGACCTATCTATTCACCAATATGTTGTTCAAATACAATACCTACTAACCTGATTCACTCAGTTATGAATTTTTCTCAATAGTTCAAAAACTACACGTTTCAGGTGAGTGTCTTATTTGAACAGTATATTGGCGAGTAGATGGCTGCGGGACGAGCGCAGCGAGGTCCACCCATAAGTTCCGCAATAATCCACTTATTTTGTACATACCTTGATACTACAATGATAAAGTTTCAAATTTTTTTATGCTGAGATTTTGTGTCTAAATGATCATTGGGGATCCTCCAAACTCCATACACTAAATTATTCTGAGATTTGAAGCCGAAATCTATGAAAAAAGGCACTCAGAAAATTGAAAAATTGATAAATTTACCCCAAATTGTTTAACGCAATTTTATTTCTGGTTATAAGTCCAAATGAGCTGAAATTTTTAGGGATTGTAATCCTCTACTAGAATAAGAATCGCTGAAAATTTCAGCTTTCTATCTAGAATAGAAAAAAAGTTATGAGTTTTCAAAGTATACTAAATTGTACTGAGATTTGAAGCCGAAATCTGTGAAAAAAGGACTGAAAAATCCAAAAATTCACCCTAAATTCCTTAATGCGATTAATATAAGTCCAAATGAGCTGAAATTTTTAGAGATTGTAATCCTCTACTATGACAAGAATCACTGAAAATTTCACCTTTCTATCTATCTATGAGAGAATTTGAGAACAACAGAAAAATGAGACTATTTGTTAATAGAAAACAAAGTGAGTAAATATATATGAAAAATTGGATCGTACCCCGTCAAAAATATCCATAACTTCGTCCCACCACTGAAAAATATCCAACAATTTTTTTAATTAATAATACAAAAATACCATAATCCTTTACCTGTTTAGCCTCTTTTTCCGATATAGACGAATGTCCTGGACGATAATTCTCAATTCTTCCCGGTTGAGTATTTTTCAAAACATCAGACGATGAGTATGATCTACTAAAAATAACTATTTTCCATATTTCTAAAATTACAAAACCATTCTTACCTTTCAGGTGCATTCCTATTCATAGTCGAACTATTAAAATGTACAGTTTGTGGTGTCCGTCTTCTATCCAAAGTTTGGTATTTGTACTCTGTGAAATCGCTATCGTACGCCCCTGGTTCTGGTTCGGACAAGTAGCCTGAACTGTATGGATATTGGGCTAAAAAATATCATATCTTACAGTTGTCTATTATAAACAAAATAAGAACATTATACATTATACTATATACACACTTTTTCTTTTGGAAATAATATAGCACACACATACACACAGCAGCGTATCAATAAAATTAAAAAATTGCATAATAACTATTGATAAGAAAGTGATAAAATTTAATATTCAAGTGGCTATACTATATACTGAGTGGTATTTACATTATTTACCTCTTTTTTGTTTGTATCTGATGGTGACATATTCATCTAAAAATTAATATATAATAATATGAAACTTTAAGATTTTTTTTTATATTACCTCTATGTGGTTTTTGTTTGTGAATAGTATCGTACATCCTTTTGTACCATTTCGATTGGTCTTTGTCTTTAACTTCCTGGTTTAAAAACATCATTTACAAATTTTGTTTTAAAACTAAATAACAAAGTTCCATGCTTAAGTCAATGATAAGATTAAAATTCGGATATTGATTATCTATAGACGATAATCCTCAAAAATAAAAAACAAACTTACAGATCTCAAAATCAAAGGCATTCCGTCTTTGCTTACTGGTCCAATACCCTCGAATTTCCTTGGGGAAAGGTCGGCCATTTTTCTCGGTTTTTCGCTATCTGATTCGCTCGTGTATTCGTTTCTTATGTGGTATACTGAAATAGAATTACTTTCAATGGATTTGTCACATACAAGACTACTAGACACACAAAACTTATTGATTTTTCTATGAAAAAGTTCTTAGAATATTGAGATCTTATCAGGTTATTAGGATTAAGAATTTTTCATTTGCAAATATTCTGTTATTTTTTTAGAAAACTCTATGAATTTTCTGATTCTCGTGTCAATAGTTTGCAAACTTCTTAATTTTTCTATGAAAAAGTTTTTTTGATGATTAGAATATTCGGATCCTATGAGGTTTTTAGGATCCTGAGATTAAGAATCTTCATGTGACCAGTTGATTGATACCCATATTATACATGTCTTCTGATTGGCTCCACTAATATACGTTACCGAAACCGCAGTCTAGCCTAAACCGGGTAGAAGTTAATTCGTCTTATTAGTCCCTATGTGTCTAGTAGGTTGGACCGGTTTGTACAGGGTGTTACAAATTCGTAAGTAAGCATGGGGATCTCGGTAACCATACGGGATACAGTTTGGTTTTAATGAAAATATAGATTTAACGTGAATTTTCCAACTTTTTCTGGTATTAAGTTGGAAAAAAGCTCATAATTTTATTTCTGAGCTTCACATTGGCTTCAAATTTACCTTGTTTGATCAAAACATCCTGGTTAATAAATCCTGAAAGTTTGAAATCAATCTGATACTTCGAAGTATTTTTCAAGATTTTTCAAAGGTGATTTAACATGAATTTTCCAACTTTTTCTGGTAGGTACTTAGTTGGAAAAAACCTCATAATTTCATTACTGAATTTCAAATTGATTCCAAATTTGCCTTATTCGATGAAAATATCTTGGTTAACGAATCCTGAAAATTTGAAATCAATCTGATACTCCGAAGTATTTTTCAAGATTTTTCAAAAGAGATTTAACATGAATTTTCCAACTTTTTCTGGTAATAAGTTGGAAAAAACCTCATAATTTTATTTCTGAGCTTCAGATTGGCTTCAAATTTGCCTTGTTTGCATAAAACATCCTGGTTAATAACTCCTGAAAGTTTGAAATCGATCTGATACTCCGAAGTATTTTTTAGGATTTTTCAAAGGAAATTTAACCTGAATTTTCTAACTTTTTCTGGTATTAAGTTGGAAAAAACCTCATAATTTTATTTCTAAGCTTCAGATTGGCTTCAAATTTGCCTTGTTTGCATAAAACATCCTGGTTAATAAATCCTGAAAGTTTGAAATCGATCTGATACTCCGAAGTATTTTTTAGGATTTTTCAAAGGAAATTTAACCTGAATATTCTAACTTTTTCTGGTATTAAGTTGGAAAAAACCTCATAATTTTATTGCTGAGCTTCAGATTGGCTTCAAATTTGCCTTGTTTACATAAAACATCCTGGTTAATAAATCCTGAAAGTTTGAAATCGATCTGGTACTCCGAAGTATTTTTCAGGATTTTTCAAAGGTGATTTAACCTGAATTTTCCAACTTTTTCTGGTATTAAGTTGGAAAAAACCTCATAATTTTATTTCTAAGCTTCAGATTGGCTTCAAATATGCCTTGTTTGCATAAAACATCCTGGTTAATAAATCCTGAAAGTTTGAAATCGATCTGATACTCCGAAGTATTTTTCAGGATTTTTCAAAGGAAATTTAACCTGAATTTTCCAACTTTTTCTGGTATTAAGTTGGAAAAAACCTCATAATTTTATTGCTGAGCTTCAGATTGGCTTCAAATATGCCTTGTTTACATAAAACATCCTGGTTAATAAATCCTGAAAGTTTGAAATCGATCTGATACTCCGAAGTATTTTTTAGGATTTTTCAGAGGAAATTTAACCTGAATTTTCTAACTTTTTCTGGTATTCAGTTGGAAAAAACCTCATAATTTTATTTCTGAGCTTCAGATTGGCTTCAAATTTGTCTTGTTTACATAAAACATCCTGGTTAATAAATCCTGAAAGTTTGAAATCGATCTGGTACTCCGGAGTATTTTTCAGGATTTTTCAAAGGAAATTTAACCTGAATTTTCCAACTTTTTCTGGTATTAAGTTGGAAAAAACCTCATAATTTTATTGCTGAGCTTCAGATTGGCTTCAAATATGCCTTGTTTGGATAAAACATCCTGGTTAATAAATCCTGATAGTTTGAAATCGATCTGATACTCCTAAGTATTTTTCAGGATTTTTCAAATGAGATTTTTAACATGAATTTTCCAACTTTTTCTGGTACTCAGTTGGAAAAAACCTCATAATTTTATTTCTGAGCTTCAGATTGGCTTCAAATTTGCCTTGTTTGCATAAAATATCCTGGTTAATAAATCCTGAAAGTTTGAAATCGATCTGATACTCCGAAGTTTTTTTCAGGATTTTTCAAAGGAGATTTAACGTGAATTTTCCAACTTTTTCTGGTATTAAGTTGGAAAAAAACCTCATAATTTTATTTCTTAACTTCATATTGACTTCAAATGTACTTTGTTCGATGCAAAAAACACATATATGTAGATAATTCAATCATCTTTCTAATAGTGCACCCATAATTATTTTGGTTTGCTCAAATTTTAATGGAAATATTGGCAATTTTTCTTAACCTTGTCTATGATTCAAAACCCAATTTGTTACACCCTGTATAATTGCACTAGGTACTTACAAACTTCGCCAGGGTACTTTATAGGCGGTCTATCGTTCGGCGGTCTCCTATCTTGGTCAGCAATGTAATGGGCACCCCTTGGAAGTTGGCCTTCTACAAAAATAATTTTAATTTTTGAAAATGGGACAATAGCAAAAGCTGAAAATTGGAAAAATTCTGAAGACAAGTATACTTTACCTCTGGCTTTCTGCAAAAGTGTTATAGTAGGATTCTGAGCCCTAGGCAACCTGGGAGACAAATTCCCAAAACCTGGAGACGATTGACTAGTCGGTAATCTTCGATCTAACGTCGAAGATAGATTTATTGCATTGTCACTGATACCTTCTGGAATTCTACTCCAGGGTGGCTCAGATACCGCTGAATCTGGTGTTTCAATAGTCTGAAATCATTCAAGTCAGTTATGGTTTTTGAATGAAATATGTACGTCTTGCCTCTGATCTGGTTCTAGTTTTCCTGCTCAGTACTGGTGATTGAAAGTTGACTGGTCTAAACTCTTTTCGTTCAACTGTAGGGCTGGTACTGGCACTTTTCGGGGTCCATATCGGAGATTGTGGATCATTTTGGGTCCTTTGGTATTTGGTAGGCGAAGAAGGACGTCTTGGATGGCCAGGGGACCATATACCTATAGATAAATGAATTTAATTCAAAGAATTCAATAAAAATTGGTTATTAGGTATGCACAAAATGATTATGTTGTTAGTGACATAGTTTTTCCAGATTTATATTTTTTTTCGGGCTAATGAAAAAGCTTGGCAATGGTGCCAAAAACCAACACATTATACCTATAATACTATATGATATATTATTTTTAGTTTTGGTTGGTTCAACGTGTTTTGTAATAAAACTTTAACACCTGCAAAATCCAGTGCTTCTATCCAAATTTACCTTGAGTAATCCGTTTTATGCAGGACCCATTAAAAACTTAACAGAATTTTGTATTTTTAACTTTATAGCTATTGATTTAATTTTTCTCAGCTTTTATTTTTGGTTGACTGAAATGACTCATAATCAAAGCGACATCGAAAATAGATTCTGGATATCTAATTTGATTTTTTCTAGTAGTAGTATTATTGGCATCATGGTCCATTCATCCTGGACTAAATTAACGATTTCGCAGTCAAGATTTATTATCAAGTTATATGCAGAACATGTGTTTCTAAATTGTTTTTTTTGGCAAACTATGTTAGATCTGTCGATGAATATTACATTTAATGGCTCAAACATCCATCAGAATTTTTAGGCTGCAGGTAGTTTTGCATCATAATTTGTCGGTGAGGTAATGGTATGAAAACTGCTACCGGATGTGGTACAATAATTCATCTAAATTTAGTTCAAATTTCCGAATAATCAAGGTCATAGAAATATCATTTATCATTTGCACATAATAATCAAAATATTGAATTTATCAGAAAAACTTGTGGTAATCAAAGTATGTACTTTATCAACTCAAAGGTTTAAAAATTGAATGATTGAAGCATCATTCTCTTGATGATGTTATTATAATGATTACTATTTTGATTGACCATCATTAACCTACTGGGTATTGAAGCAGTAGCTTTAAATGTAGGCGTAGGTGCCTTCATCCTTATCCAATAATATTCTCAATTACACTCAAACACTCAACACATCGTTAAATTTCCGGCATCGGAAATTTTAGCGTCATAGAAACGCGTCGCGACGCTCCAACTGAAAAACTGACAGCAAAAAGTATTATTTAAGGCGTCGCGATGTTTGTTACGAATATATAAACGGACGACGCCCGTTCGGTGTGTTACAAATTTAGATTTCTACCATCGTTTTTTGGTTTTCATATGGGGGATGAATGAGAGATTTTGGTGGAACGTAAACAATAATTTCGAAGTAACAGGTTTCAATGAATAGATTCAAATGTTAAGAATTTGAAACACTTTGGCTCCAAATTGTAATGAAATTGGCAATATGGCTACCACAAAACAATGATTATTTATTATATCAAAAACACCCATCAAAATAGGAGTTTTGTTTCAACCACTTCGTTATCACAGGTTTCATGATAAAGGACTTTTACCCCACTAGTAGATGAAATATGATTTTTTCTTTATCATGATGTATGTATGATGGTCACAAAATAATCATCCTTCCTTTCTTGAATTATTATATTATATATTCCAGTCTGGTTGGTACGCACCCATAAATAGATGGGCAATGGAACAATTGATTGTCTTCTTCCTTTCGGATATTAATAATTTTTGCATAGGCGTAGGATGACTTTTTTTCGATCGCATATTTGCTTTGTTTTTATTAGTATATCAATATTTGAAATTCTTGATTCTCTGTTTCAATGTATCGAATATTAAAATTTCTCATATGTACCTACTGGATTTTTCTATTTTGAACCTACTCAGCTGCCAAAGCATTGAAATTTCAAGCTGCCGAATGAAAAAGGATTCAATTAGCCTTAATTTGAATCTGATTATGTTAAAATCGGATTGAAATTACCGGAGTTATGGGGTTGACATCAAAAATCATAAAATTCTTGTAAAATCATCTTCGCATGTTCCTGAAAAATACTTTGAACTATCACAGCAATTTTAAACTTTCAGAATTTATTCATTAGAGTCTTTTCATGATACAAAACAAGTTGGAAGTTGATATGAAACTCACAACTAAAGTTACGATTTTTTTTACTCATTGATATCTGCAAAAATCATGAAATTCCTGTGGAATTATCTTTGAAGGTTCCAGAAAAATACGTTGAACCATCACAGTAACTTGAAACTTTCACGAATTATTAATTAGAGTCCTTTCATCATACAAAACAAGTTGGAAGTTGATATGAAACTCACAACCAAAGTTACGATTTTTTTTTACTCATTGATACCTGAGAAAATCATAAAATTCCTGTAAAATCATCTTTGAATGTTCCTGAAAAATACTTTGAGCCATCACAGCAACTTGAAACTTTCAGGATTTATTAATTAGAGTTTTTTCATGTAACAAAACAAGTTGGAAATTGATATGTAACTCACAACCAAAGTTAGGAATTTTTCTAATCATTAATACCTGAGACAATCTCAAAATTCCTGTGAAATCATATTTGAAGGTTCCTGAAAAATACTTTGAACCATCACAGCAGTTTTAAACTTCCAGGATTTAATAATTACAGTTTTTTCATGATACAGAACAGGTTGGAAGTTGATTTGAAACTCACAACCAAAGTTAAGAATTTACTGAGTTCCTGTAAAATCATCTTTGAAGTTTTCTGAAAAATACTTTGAGCTATCACAGCAATTTGAAACTTTCACTACTTATCAATTAGAGTCTTTTCATGATACAAAACAACTTGGAAGTTGATATGAAACTCACAACCAAAGTTACGAATTTTTTTACTCATTGATACCTGAGAAAATCATAAAATTCCTGTAAAATCATCTTTGTAGGTTTGTGAAAAATATTTTGAGCCATTCCAAAAACTTGAAACTCAGAGTTTATTAATTAGAGTTTTTTCATGATACAGAAGAAGTTGGAAGTTGATATGAAACTCACAACCAAAGTTAGGATTTTTTTACCCATTGATACCTGAAAAAATCATGAAATTCCTGTAAAATCATCTTTGATGGTTTCTGAAAAATACTTTGAACCATCACACCCGCCTAAAACTTTCAGGATTTATTAATTAGAGTTTTGTCATGATACAAGACGGCAGGCAAAGGTAAGGTTCCCAAAGTTGATAGGTTGCCTGGTAATGGGAAACAGATGACGTCATCTGGCATACTTCGTGGAGATTTGCATTATGTTTAGGCACCACCCCAGATGACGTCATAAAAGTTATAGGTAACCTAACCTTGATCCAAAGCCTACTTTGATGTTTATGAAACGTGATGTTAGCCAATGTTAATAATTACCGTGGCGATATATTTTTTAAAAATTGAAATTTCTTTAATTCTAAAAAGGAAAAATTCTCGAAAAAAAAAACCTTGTTTTGAATATTTAGAATGCGAGGTTGCCAAACATACTCTATTTACTTGAGAATATAATACAGGGTGACATGTGTCCCACTGGGAACCAAATCAATCTATACAGGGTGTCGGAAATAACTTAAAATGAAAATGTTTTTCTCGACTTTACTCTTAATACTGTCACAATAATATAAATATTTACAATTTTTCGACTGTCATATTGACTAGTTTCTGAAGTTGTTTTCTTCTCTTTTTGTCAATTTGCCTTTTATCAGGAATTAGTAATATTAATTTACCAAACTAGGAACATAATGTAACAAGTTATTCAAATACAAATGAGTGGATTGTTGCGGAACTTATGGGTGGACCTCTGCGGGACGAGCGCAGCGAGTTCCGCAGCCATCTACTCACCAATATACTGTTGAACTGTTCAAGTAAGACATTCACCTGAAACGTGTAGTTTTTGAACTAATGAGAAAAACTCACAACTGAGAGAATCAAGTTAGTATTGTATTTCAACAATATATTGGTGAATATAATATGGCTGCGGAACTCGCTGCGCTCGTCCCGCAGAGGTCCACCCATAAGTTCCGCAACAATCCACTTATTTATACTTGAACAATAACTTATTATGTAAGGTCAGAATTTGTAAGATTATCCACTTTTTGTCAATTTGCCTTTTAACAGGAATTAGTAATATTACTTTACCAAACTAGAAACATAATGTGACAAGTTATTCAAGTACAAACGAGTGGATTGTTGCGGAACTTATGGATGGTCCTCTGCGGGACGAGCGCAGCGAGTTCCGCAGCCATCTACTCATCAATATACTGTTGAACAATTCAAATAAAACACCCATCTGAATCGTGTAGTTTTTGGACTAATGAGAATAACCGACATTTGAGTGAGTCAGGTTAGTATCGTACTTGAACAACATATTGGTGAATAGATGGCTGCGCAGAGGTCCACCCATAAGTTCCGCAACAATCCACTTATTTGTACTTGAACAATAACTTATTATATAACGTCAGAATTTGTAAGATTATCCACTTTTTGTCAATTTTAACAGGAATTAATAATATTACTTTACAAATCTAGGAACATAATGTGACAAGTTATTCAAGTACGACGGATGGATTGTTGCGGAACTTATGGGTGGACCTCTGCGGGACGAGCGCATCGAGTTCCGCACAGTCATCTACTCACCAATATACTGTTGAACTGTTCAAATAAGACACTCACCTGAAACGTGTAGTTTTTAAATTAATGAGAATAACTCACATTTAAGTGAGTCAGGTTAGTATTATACTTAAACAACATATTGATGAATAGATGGCTGCGGAACTCGCTGCGCTCGTCCCGCAGAGGTCTACCCATAAGTTCCGCAACAATCCACTTGTTTGTACTTGAATAAACTTGTCACATTATGTTACTAGTTTGGTAAAGTAACATTACTAATTCCTGTTGAAAGACAAATTGACAAAAAGTGAATAATCTTACAAATTTTGACTTTATATAATAAGTTATTTTTCAAGTACAATAAGTGGATTGTTGCGGAACTTATGGGTGGACCTCTGCGGGACGAGCGCAGCGAGTTCCGCAGCCATCTACTTACCAATATACTGTTGAACTGTTCAAATAAAACACTCACCTGAAACGTGTAGTTTTTGAACTAATGAGAAAAATTCACAACTGAGAGAATCAGGTTAGTATTCTAAATTTGTGTTTCTTTTGCTTTCAACTCCACTTTGAATCATGGACTACTTTTTAAATTTAAGATAAACCATTTAAAATACAGGGTGGATCAAATGGGGAAAAAGTTGCACAATCAAGTGTGCCTATAAATATCAACTTGTTTGAACTTGAAATAGACTTCAAGTTATTCCGCATACCCTGTATAATAATATGAAAAATTGTATAGAGAAAAATTTTGGAAACTATTGTCAATAGGGGCAACCATATTTTCACTTCCGGTTAACAATGACAGGAAACGTCAAATTGCTTATTTTGAATGAAACACCCTATATTTTATTTTAGTATGATGAACTCCTAACTCTCCTCTTTCTCTCTTGAAAATTTCATAATTTTCTCTTGGATAGTTTAAAGTTTCCCAGAAGAAAAATTAAATGTAAGAGGGTGAAAAAATCAAAAATTCCTGTGAAATGACCTTTGAAAGTTCCTGAAAAATACTTTGAGCCTCCGCAGCATCTTGCAACTTTCAGGATTTATTAATTAGAGTTTTTTCATGATGCAAAACAAGGTGAAAGTTGATATGAAACTTACAACTCAACTAAAGTTACGGATATTTTTACTCATTGATACCTGAAAAAATCGAAAAATTCCTGTAAAATCACTTTTCAAGGTTCCTGAAAAATACTTTGAGCCATCACAGCAACTTGAAACTTTGAGAATTTATTAATTGGAGTTTCTTCATGATACAAAACAAGTTGGAAGTTGATATGGGATTCACAACAAAAGTTACGATTTTTTTTTTACTCATTGATACCTATAAAAATCAATAAAATCCTCTAAAATCACCTTTGAAGGTTCCTGAAAAATACTTTGAGCCAAGACAGCAACTTGAAACTTTCACGACTTATCAATTAGAGTTTTTTTCATGATACAAAACAATTTGGAAGTTGATATGTAAAGCACAACCTAGCTTAGGATTTATCATTAGTCAAGAGCCGGGAATAATCAAAAAATGCCTATGAGGATTTCAAGCCAATCTACAACAGTATTGAAAATAATTCTCCATCACTAAGTAAAATACATTATTTTGGCTCAATCTTTGATGCAAATTGAATTAAACTTGTCATAGAATCAATCAATTATCCTGATGTTTGGTGAATTTCCTTTAATTTCCATGAAACATAAAACGAATAATGAAAAAACAACGATGCATTCCACAAACCTTTCTTGTTCAACAAAAACCCTTTGGCCACAGTCAGAGAGGCATCGATCTCGTGCAAAAGACTGAAATTTTTAATGCCGCTATTTTTGGCCAACACCCTGTATATCCTACGGGCTTCTTTACAACATTTTTTGTCGCACTGTACCGATATTTTGCCTAAAATCAATCAATTATAATTTCCAATAAAGTTTTAAATAAACTGTAAATGACGTAACGCAACTGTGGCGCTAAAATTATAACTAGGTTAATCGGTGTAGGTACAGTCCGAAGTAGGATTTTAATGATTTATGAAACAATTATTAATTAACTCACTCACAATGTTAATATAAATCACAAAAAAAAAACATCACACATCTAACTTACTATCATTATTTTGTTGCATCGTTGTCAGGTCGTCTACAAATTCTTGGAGATGTTTGGGTAAAGTTTCAACCCCCTTGAGTTTGTCACCGTCAAGTACTAGAACAGGCGCTATGATGGAATCTTTCAATGTTGCCACTGTTTCAATTTTTTCTTCATCAACATCCTTGTGAAACTTTTCTTTAACTTTATCCATAAACTCTTGTTCGATTTCAATTGGGTGAATAATTTCTTTGGATTTAGTATTTTGGTGTAAGTCATTGCTGGATGATGATATTTTGATGAGTTTTTGTTGTTTGCGTTCTTCTCTGGCTGAAAACTTGTCCATGTATTCCTCGTACATTTGCTGTCTGAAGAATTCGGTTGGAAATACTGGCATTGATAGGGGCCTGTCTTTTCTTTCAGCAAAATCTCCATTTTTGGAAACGTAAAATTCATCTGGTTGAAATTTATGTTGTTGCAACTTTCGTTTTTCTTCTTCCAACTGTTCCAACTCTCGTTGAATCTCTCTTTCTTTTTCCATGATTTCGATGAGTTGTTTTTCGTAAATTTCTTGAGGTAAAGAACGTCGGCGTTGGACGGTGTGTGTGTGTGGATACTTTCCGACATCGAATCGGTTGAAGTTATTTATAGAGTCCAGGTTAGATGTACTTTTACTTTTATTTCTTGCCAATGTAAGCCATTCAGTTAAGTTTTTAGCGCTGGAACTTGATTCAGTAGAATCTTCTTCTTGGATTATTGTTAACAAACGATTTTTGGTTAAAAATTTCTCATGTAGCTCAACAAGTCTTCTATCTTCTTGACTATCTTGAGACATTTTTTCTTTAAACAAATTATTATGAATTATTAAATTTTCAATGGTTTTACAAGAGGCATCAGCAAGCACTTTTAACATCTCTTCACCAAAAGGTAAGGAAATCAGCAATTTCAAAGTGATATTACGTAGAGTTTCTGGTTGTTTCAATTCGTAAAATTCGCTTATAGAAGCCACATCGGCTATAGACGAGTTCGGATTGTATTTGGCTGTACATCTAGAACTTTCTTCGCTACAGGTAGTACTATCGCTGCTGGCTGAAGCTGGACGTGGAGGGCTGAGAATGTTAGTGTAGGTTATGTCGTTGCTAACAGGGATTTTTGTGTCTTTTTGGGTTTTTCTTAGTAGGAAGGCTTTGGATTTTCGTGGAGGTGGTACCGGAGGTTCGTTTGTAATTTTTAAATCGCTTTCTTGGTTTTTGTTTTGATTTTCTTTCTTTGGTTGGTTTTCTATTATGTTTTTTATTGATTCGTTGTTTGATTTTTTGAATTCTTCTTTGGAATTATTAATAATTTCAACAGGAATTATTCTTTCCTCATTACTTGCTTCCTTGGATTGTTTTTCTATCATATTCTGTAATGATTCGTTTATGTGTTTTAAATTGTTTGATTTTTTGAATTCTTCTAGTTCCTCTTTAGAATTATTAATAATTTCAATAGAAATTATTTTTTCTTTGTTATTTTCTTCCTTGAATTGTTTTTCTATTATATTTTGTGATGATTCATTTATGTGTTTTAAATTGTTTGATTTTTTGATTTCTCCTAGTTCCTCTTTAGAATTATTAATAATTTCTACAGGAATGATTCCCTCTTCATTATTTATTTCATTTTCTTCCTTAGGCTGTTTTTCCATAATGTTCTGTAATGATTCATTTATGTGTTTCAAATTGTTTGATTTTTTAAATTCTTCTAGTTCCTCTTTAAAATTACTAATAATTTCAACAGGAATTATTCTCTCTCTATTATTTTCTGCCTTGGATGGTTTTTCTATTATATTCTGTAGTGATTCATTTATGTGTTTTAACTTGTTTGATTTTTCGAACTCTTCTTGTTCTTCTTCATTTTCTATTATATTCTGTAATGATTCGTTTATGTGTTTTAAATTATTTGACTTTAAAAATTCTTCTATTTCCCCTTTAAAATTATCAATAATTTCAACAGGAATTATCCTTATTTCTTTATAATTTTTCCTATTTTCTTCCTTAGGTTGATTTTCTATAATGTTTTGTAATGATTCATTTATATGTTTCAGATTTTTAGAAAAATTATTGTCAGGGTTTTCTTCTTTTATAATATATTGCAAAGTTTCATTCATGTCTTGGGTATCTTCTGTGAAGTTGTTCAATATTGAATTTTCACTTACTCTTGGATGATTTTCAACTGAAACATCTTTTTCTATTTTTATAGGAATAATCCTTTCCTCACCATTGTTTGTAGCTTCAATTTCTATTGGAATGATAAATTCCTTATGATTTGTTTCACTTTTATTTTGCTCTTCTATAATTACTTTTTCTTCCTCATTATTATTTATATTATTACTTGAATCTTCCTCTAAAATAATTCTCTTCAAAATGCTCCCTTCACTAGTAGAAAATGCCTTGATTCTAGAATTTACTAAACTATGATCGGGCTCTTCATTATCAACCTTGTTATCTTCTACAACATTTGAAAATTCTTCAACTCTTCTTTGTACAAAACTTGTTCCTGGTAACTCTTTTGACACCGAAGGTGACTTGGATTTCCTGAAAAGGGGTCCGACTAATTCTTGTCTGTTTATTTTCTCTTTGATTTCGTCATTTAACATTTTTATGTTTTTAAATTCGAGCAGCTTTTGACTGTCTGTCTTGTTGTTTGATGTCATTATCATTTGTTTTAGTGTGCTTTCTTTTTTCGATTCCGTTGTACATTTTGTTGATGTAATTTTTATTGATTCTTCTTTAGTATTTTCAGTTTTACTTTCATTTTTCTCTTCACAAATTTCTTTTGTATTTCCTACTAACACTTTAACGTCATTGTTTTCAAGATTTTCACTTTTAATTCCATTCATACAACTCTTTGTGATAGTTTTCTGCTCATTATTTTTCAATTCTTTTTCATCTTCAGGTTCTTTAGGTTTCAGAACATTTGGGATTCTTGTATAGTCAAAAACCACTTTTGAACTTGAACCATCTTTACTTGGTCTTAAAATCTTACTGCATACTTTCACATCACTAGAAATTTCTGTTGAAATAGTTTCTTCAGAGTCTATTTGAAAATCATAAGATTTTTCATCAAAATCACTTGATGACGTACTCAAATCATCCAAATAAACTAATTCAGCTTCATCTGCCTTAACAAAATCTTCTTTTATTGTTTCTACCAAAATAGGCTCCTCTATACAACTTTTCACTTTATTATTATTCAACTCTGGAGTACCTTGTTTCAAATGCCTCAAACTACTAGAACATTCTTTATCACTAATATCGCTAGCTTCTTCAGAAATGGCATCCAAATATCTAGGATTTTGAGCAATAGGCATAAAATATTCTTCAAGCTCTTTTCGTTTTTGTATTTTTTTAGCTTTTGAATCATTCACTCCGCTAGTTCGTTCATATAAATCTTTGGCCGATTCTTCTGGTGAATTTACAAGATTTAAACCATCCAAAAAGGTTCTGAGTTCTTGTTCTTCTGCTGGACTTATGAGTTCATTGTCCAAAAGATTTTCTTCCGACGATGCTTCAGAAATAATAATATTTGTATGATCTTCATTTTCACTAGCTTCAGAAACTTCTTGGATGTTCAACAAATCATCATCGTCCAAGCTTTTGCTTTTGGCTTTCAATTTTTTTAGTTCTTTTGGTGATTCTACTTTGTATTTGTGTTCGATACGTTTCAGGCTGAGAATGTCTAATTTGTCTAATGAAGGATGCAAAATTATCGTTGTTGTTTCTACATCATCGTGCTGTTTGTTCTGTAAATTCTTCCTCCTTTGTCTGCGCTTTTTGCTCTTGGACATCTTTCCTTCGTCATCTTTATTCATCGCTTTGTCCAATCCTACATTACACACGAAATTTTCTCGGTATTTTTATTAGAGAGTTCTTTAACACCAAAAAGAAAAGTCAGATTTGAATTAAGCACTGCAAAGGTTTGATAGTTATCTAATGAAAAGTGTTGCTGAAATAACTGATGTGAAGTTGGCGGTTAACAGTTAGCAGCCAAACTGCCGAATATTGTCGATTGATCAGTAACGTATGTTTTTAACTTCCCATAAAATTTTAAATACCTATGTATGGATGTATCTGCGATGGTCCTTTTTCTCACAAAACTATTATAATAATTATAATAAATTGGGGTGGGGGGGAGGGGGGTGAAACTAATAAATTATTGCAAATAATAAGTAAACATGTTCCACCATAGCTTCTGCTATAAATGGTACTGAAAGCTATGATGAATAAGCATAATAGTTACACCGTTTTGAGTACAACTAATACTCAGGTATAAATAGTACTGGAAGTTATAGGCAGTACCAATATACACCGTTAAGGGTACCCAAAAAAACTTGCAAATAACTTGGAGGGTGATCAAGGGGGTGAAACTAATAATTATGATTCATCGGAAAAAGGGTTTTTGTGTAAATATTGACATTTCTACTCTAGTCTTGGGTACAAATGGTATTGCAAGTGCTAGTCAGTAGGTACCAATATACACCGTTTAAGGTACCTAAAAAAACTTGCAAATAATTTTAAGGGTGGTTCAAGGGGGTGAAACTAATAATTACGATTCATCGAAAATAGGGTTTTTGTGAAAATATGGACATTTCCACCCTAGTGTCGAGTACAAATAGTGTTGGAAGTTATAGGCAGCGCCACTGGTCTTTTCCTGTTTTTGACTAACTCCTCAACCTTTCTATGTTAGTATGGATTCAATCCTATTTACAGTTTTTGAATAACCATACAGTTTCCTATATACAGTTTTTGAATAATCATACAGTTTTGTATATTTTCGTATGGTTCTCCATTCGTAGGTCGATTGAGTGTGTGCCACTGATATTTTCCTGTTTCTGACTACCCCCTCAACCTTTCCATGTTAGTATCAATTCAATTCTATAAGATTTTTACGCTATATTTAGGATGAAGTCACATTAAGTAAATATTTGCTGCCAACCTAACAAAACTAAAAGACTAAGTACTTTTTAACGCATTTAAAGTAGGGGAATTCCAGATGTTTTTGATTGGCAACGACGCGCGACGTTGTATGACTTGTATAAACATTTTTATTTCGTTATTTTCAGTTGTCATCAGAATTATTAACACATTACATTCTGGTAAATTATGAAAAAAAAAAAATAGGCATTGACAACATTGTCTGTCCTTGTTTGATGACGTCATTCTAAATATAACATAAAAAACCTATAACTATGAATATGTAAAATAATAATAAAGGGTCAAATTACTTATATAAATTTTTCATAGGGAATCGCCTTTACATACTCTCAAGTGGAAATAAGTATTGATATCTATGCCGTTTTTACCATTGTAAGATATTGCTCGTTATCAAACTTTTTTCCAATTTTCAGTAGAGTGCATTCCATTTGTGTAATTTGTTAGAGGGATCTTGGGCTCTTCTAGAAAATCATCCAGTGAATCAAACGCCGGTAATATTCAAAATTTGACCAATTACAGGCCGTTAATTTCCTCTAGAGAAATCATCCGACGAATCAAGATTCAAGAGCCGATAACAATCAAAATTTGGCTTGATGGTGACGTCAGTGGGCGAATTTTTTCTATCCTGGATAATTTTGACAGCTGCCAGAATCTACCTTGAAATTTTTTGTTTACAAGTGTCAAAAAATAAATAAATAAACGTCTCTTTTGAATTTGACAGTGACATCATTTTAACAGTTGTCGAAGTTGAATTTGATATAGGATTTTCACGCTATACATATTTAGAATGACGTCACATTTAGTAAATTTCTGCTGCCAACCTAACAAAACTAAAGGTACTTTTCAACATATTTAAAGTAAGGGAATTCCAGATTTTTTGGTTGGCAACGGTGCGCGACGTTACATGACTTGTTTAAACATTTTTATTTCGTCATTTTTAGCTGTCATCAGAATTATTGACACGTGACATTCTGGTAAATTATAAGAAAAAAAATTGGCATTGACAACATTGTCTGTCCTTGTTTGATGACGTCATCCTAAATATAACATAAAAAAACCTATATGTACAGGGTGTTTCCTTATATTTTGACCCCTACCTACAGCTTCAGCTATACGAGGTGAAAAAAAAATTTAAATACGAATGTTGTAGGGTTTTATATCTATTATCTTTTGCGAATGTCAAAATGGGCAAATGACAGGTGCCAACTGTCACAATGACAAACACTTGCATCTGTACTGGTTTCTCATATCAATGATGAGGCTTGTTCAATGCAATTTTGAAATTAAATAGCGCAAAAACAACAAAACCAAATATCAACATATATGATATATTTGGAACCAGAAGACAAAAAGCTATCGTTCTAGCCAAAAATATACAGGGTGTTCCATTTGAAAAATGCAAGTGTTTGTCATTGTGACGTTGGCACCTGTCATTTGCCGATTTTGACATTCGCAAAAGATAATAGATATAAAACCCTACAACTTCCATATTTGAAGTTTTTTTCCACCTCGTATAGCTAAGGCTGTAGGTAGGGGTCAAAATATAAGGAAACACCCTGTACAGTTTTTGAATAATTATCATACTTTTGTATGGTTCTCCATTCGTAGGTCGATTGAGTGTACGCCACTAGGCAGTACCAATATACACCGTTTATGGAACCTCATTTGACTTGCAAATAACTTTGAGGGTGGTTTAAGGGGGTAAAACCAATAATTGCGATTCGTCGAAAAAAAAAAACATTTTTACGTCACCTGTCAAAAAAATTATGACAGCTGTAATGCGACCGAAATTTGTGTCAATAGAGTTGTTTGCCTTTTCCCCCGTTTTACTATACGAGCTACAACCACCAAACTCGGTGCATGACGATTATTCTTCAGTGTCAAAAAAATTTGACAGCCATCAACGTCAAAAAAGATTTTCCCAATTTTCCCAAATTACGATGGTCAAAAAATGATCCACCGACCCCAAAAACCCAAAAAAAAAAAATTTACATATGTCAATAAATGACAGCCTGACAAGGTCAAACGTCTTTTACCGAGGACACATTCGAATAGAATTTTTGTCGTCCGTAACTTTGGTGATATTGACAGAGATGTTACCTGTCAAATTTAACACATGTTTACTTCTCTCCCCGCTTTACCATACAAGCTATACGACCGCCAAATTCGATACACGACAGATATAATATTTCGTGAGCTACCTGTCAGTATCAAATTTTTTTGACAGCTGTCAACGTTAAAAAAGTTTTTTTTCAATGTTCCGTTTTTCAAAATACAAAACATGGTGGATAACCACAAAGGATGGTCACATCGGCGAGCACTCGCTGCTGTAGTGACGTCATCTGGCCCACTCGAAACAAGTTTTATGCGTTATTGGTATAGGAGGATAATGATTTAGCCATAAATGATGTTGTTTTGACTTTTAATGCAATAAATTTCGACAAATTTTATATTAAACTTCTCGAATTATACAAAGCAAATCTTTTGATTGAGTGGGCCGGAGTACGTCACGCGGCCGATCATTGCGACTATCCTCTTGTGGTTTATCGTTTTTGTTCCCGATCCCCTGGAAAAAAACTGACATCGATATAATAATAATATGTCAAAAATTGACGATTTAACAACGGAAAACGTGATTTTTTCACACACGTCAAATTTTGATGACGCAATCGGATATAATTTTCGTCGCTCGACACTTTGTTGACAATAACAGATGTCATCTGTCATCATATTATATCCGCTTGTCATATTTTTGACGTTAACAGCTGTCAAAATTGACGATGGATTTTTTTTTTAGTATTTTATATCTTACTTCAATATTTTTCAAGTTTTTTTGTGAAAATATGGACATTTCCATCCTAGTATCGGGTACAAATGGTACTGGAAATTATAGGCAATACCAATATACACCGTTTGAGTTACCTAAGATTCCTAAGAAGACTTGCAAATAACTTTGAAGGTGGTTTAAGGGGGTAAAACTAACAATTATGGTTAATCGAAAAAAGGGTGTTTGCGAAAATATGGAGATTTCCACCCTAGTCTCGGACAGAAATGATACTGGAAGTTATAGGCAGTACCAATGTACACCGTTAAGGGTACCTAAAAAGACTTAAAAATAACTTTGAGGGTCGTTCAAGAGGGTGAAACTAATAATTACTATTCATCGAAAATAGATTTTTTTGTGAAAATATGGACATTTTCATCCTAGTCTTGGATACAAATGGTACTGGAAGTTAAAGGCAGTACCAATATACATCGTTAAGGGTACCTAAAAAGACTTGAAAATAACTTTGAGGGTGGTCCAAGGGGGTGAAGCTAATAATTACGATTCATGAAAATATGAATATTTCATCCCTGGTCTCGGGTACAAATGTTTAGGGAACCTCACTTCAACTGGAAATAACTGTAACGATGGTTTAAGGGAATAAAACTAACAATTACAGTACCAAATACATCGTTTGACGTTTGGGGAACCTCACTTCACTTGCAAATTACTTTGAGGATGGTTTAAGGGGGTGCAACTAATAATTGCGATTCATCGAAAAAAGGGTTTTTGCGAAACTATGGACGTTTCCACCCAAGTCTCGGGCACAAACAGTACTGGAAATTAAAGGCAGTACCAAAATACATCGTTTGGGGAACCTCACTTGACTTGCAAATTACTTTGAGGATGGTTTAAGGGGGTGCAATTAATAATTGCGATTCATCGAAAAAAGGGTTTTTGCGAAAATATGGACGTTTCCACCTTAGTCTCGGGCACAAACAGTACTGGAAATTAAAGGCAGTACCAAAATACATCGTTTGGGGAACCTCATTTGACTTGCAAATTACTTTTATGATGGTTTAAGGGGGTAAAACTAATAATAGCGATTCATCAAAAAAGGGGTTTGACACCACCGATCAATCGGCAATGTTCGGCAGTTAACTTTTAGCAGCTCACATCAGTACTGAAAAATTCAATTAACCTTGTAGGTATAAATTAATTTATAATGTTTGTTTACTTAATAATTGAAAATCCAACCTTGACATTGATTATATGTTTCAGTAACACTTTTCACTATATCAACTTTTGGCTGATTAGCTCACTTATGGCACAATTTTAATAGGAAAACACCAAAAAATACACTTTAAATTCGCGTTCGTTGGCTATAGACTGCGGCGTTAAAAAGCGGAATTGTTTATTAGTTTAAAAACGTTTTCAAGGTATATTTTTAGAGATAATTCGTGTCTAAGTAAGTAAGTATGTGGTGTAATGAATTTTTGCGCGGTCCATTGGCGTACAGCAATAATTTCAGCAAATATATTATATCGAGTGTGAAGGTTATCTTTATTGATTTTATCAGTCAAATTTTATTCATTCAAGTCTTACCTTCGTCTGGAATAGAGCTACAATTCGAATACGATGATTGTCTGGAAGCAATTGCGTGATCTGATGATTTATTTTTGCCTGAAAAGGATAATTTTGTTAGATTTTGAGAAAATGTGAATCTTCTTGACAGTTTGGCGAAGGAAATAATCAAAATTCTAGTCACAATTTATTTTATTATAGTGTCACTTTTTCACTCATTAAATTGTCTTTTATTATTCCAGGCCAGACATGGAAATTATGAGGCCAAAATTCGTGTCACAATTATTTTTTTTCCCATTTTATTTGTGTCTTTCTCTTGTTTATTGAATTTCCTATTCTATTGTCTGTTACTCAAGTATCGGAAAGTCCGCTCAAGTACCAGAAATAATCAAAATTTGTGTCACAATTTTTGTATCCTACTGTATTCGTGTCTCTTTTTCAATCATTAAATGTTTATTTTTTACTATTCCAGGCTCAAATACAAAAAACCTTACAATTGAAGCGCTGGGAATAGTAAAAATTTGTGACACAATTTCGATTTCCTACTTTATTTGTGTCTCTTTCCTATTGATTGATTTCCTTATATTGTTGTTTCCTACTTTATTATTCCAGGCTTTTGATGGTCAGACACAAAAATTTCAAATTCACCCAAGCGCCGATAATAATCAAAATTCGTGTAACAATTTTTTTATCCTATTCTATTCGTGTCTCTTTCTTAATCATTGAATGTCTATTTTTCACTTTTCCAGGCTCAAATACAAGAAATTTACAAAGCGCCGGGAATAGTAGGAATTTGTGACACAATTTTTGTTTTCCTACCTTATTTGTGTCTCCCTCTTATTTATTGACTTTCTTATATTGTTGTCTTCTACTTAATATTCAAATAAAGAAGGATTAAATAGTTTGTGACTTTGACGCGAATTTTTATTATTCCCGGCGGCCGCTGAGTAAATTTATATCCTGCTTTATTTGTGTCTCTTTCTTATGCATTGCATTTCTTGTATCGCTGTTCATTATTTTATTATTCCAGGCTTTTGATTGGTCAGACAAAGCCCACCCAAGCGCCAGGAATAATAGAGTATGAGACAACGATATAAGACATTTAATGAGTAAGAGAGGGGCACAAATAAAGTAGGATATTATAATGTATGACGCGAATTTTGATTATTCCTGGCGCTTGAGTAAACTTTTTATTTTTATATTCTACTTTATCTGTGTCTCTTTCTTATGCATTGCATTTCTTATATCTCTGTTTATCATTTTATTATTCCAGGTTTTTGATTGGTCAAACAAAGCCCACTCAAGCGCCGCGAATAATAGAGTATGGGACAACGATATAAGAAATTTAATGAGTAAGAGAGGGACACAAATAAAGTAGGATATAATAATGTGTGACGCAAATTTCGATTAATCCCGGCGCTTGAGCAAAACCTTTGATTTCCATATCCTACTTTATCTGTGTCTCTTTCTTATGCATTGCATTTCTTGTATCTCTGTTTATCATTTTATTATTCCACCGGGATTTTGATTGGTCAGACAAAGCCCACTCAAACGCCGGGAATAATAGAGTATGAGATAACGATATAAGAAATTTAATGAGTGAAAGAGGGACACAAATAAAGTAGGATATAATAATGTGTGACGCGAATTTTAATTATTCCCGACGCTTGAGTAAACCTATGATTTTTATATTCTACTTTATCTGTGTCTCTTTCTTATGCATTGCACTTCTTGTATCGCTATTCATTATTTTTATTATTCCAGGCTCTTGATTGGTCAGACAAAGACCACTCAAGCGCCAGGAATAATAGAGTGAAGCCCGGTTTATTCATCTTCAGATAAACTTGCGGATAACTTTGGAAGATAAATTTACCGTTCTATAATTCTATTGGTCGACAATGGGATTATAGATTGCGTTTTTATCCGCCAGATTGCATACCTGACAATTTATCAGAAGGTGAATAAACCAGCCCTAAGAGAGAATAATTATATAAGAAATCTAATGACTGAGAAAGAGACACAGTTAAAGTAGGATACAAAAAAATTGTGACGCGAATTTTGATTATTTCCGGCCCTTGAGTAAACTTCTGATTATATATACATATATCCTACTTTATCTGTGTCTCTTTCTTATTTATTACATTTCTTATATGTTGTGTATTATTTTATTACTCCAGGTTACCGATTAGTCAGACAGAATCTTCTCAAGCGCCAGGAATATTAGAGTATGATATAAAGATATAAGAAATTGAATGCGTGAGAGAAGGAACAAATAAAGTAGGATAAAATAATGTGTGACGCGAATTTTGATTACTCCCGGCGCTTGAGTAAACTTATGATTTTTATATCCTACTTTATCTGTGTCTCTTTTTATGCATTACATTTCTTGTATTGCTGTTCATTATTTTATTATCCCAGGCGTTTGATTGGTCAGAAAAAGCCCACTTAAGCGCCGGGAATAGTAGAGTAAGAGAGAACAGCCATATAAGAAATGCAATGAATAAGAGAGGGACACAAATAAAGTAGTGAAAAATAATTTGTGACGCGAATTTTGATTATTCCCGGCGCTTGAGTAAACTTCAGAGGCGTCGCGTTTGGGGGGGGGGGAGGATAGAATAATCAAGAGACAAAAGAAAATGTAATTTTATTTTTATTTTTCATATAAAAGAAATATTTCTTCTGAAAAAGTGAATGACCTTGAAATTTATGGAAATTTTGGGGTGGGCGCCCCCCGAACCCTCGGTACCATTTACCCCGCCCCCCTGCAGACTAATTGTCACGAGTCGCCACTGTGTATACCAGTCAAGCGCCTCGAATAACAAAATAATAAAAATGATAAAAGAAAATCAATGAGTAAGAAAGAGACACAGATAAAGTAGGAGGAAAAAAAAAATTGTGACTCCAACTTTCATTATTCTCAGCATTTGAGCGGGTTTCTAATTTTTGAATTTGGTCAATCAAGAGCCTGTAATATATCAGAGTAATGAAGAACGATGATATGAATTGAAAAGAGAGGCACAAGTAAGTAGAGTACCATTTACCCTCCCCCCCCCCCCCAGACTAATTGTCACGAGTCGCTACTGGTAAACTTGTGATTTCTGTGTGCGCCTGGAATAACAAAATAATAAAAATGATATAAGAAAATCATTGAGTAAGAAAGAGACACAGATAAAGTAGAAAGAAAAAAAACATTGTGATTCCAACTTCCATTATTCTCGGCATTTGAGCGGGTTTCTAATTTTTGAATTTGGCCAATCAAGAGCCTGGAATATGATAAAGTAATGAAAAAGGATATATTATGAATTGAAAAGAGAGGCACAAGTAGAGTACCATTTACCCTCCCCCTTCCGACTAATTATCACGAGTCGATGAGTCAGAAAGAGATACAGATAAAGTAGGAAGAAAAAAAAAATTGTGACTCCAACAACAAGCAGGTTTCTCATATTTGAATTTGGCCAATCAAGAGTCTGGAATATATAATAATGAAGAACGATATTATGAATTAAAAAGAGAGGCACAAGTAAGTAGAGTAGGATAAACAAAAATCATCACAATTTTTGTCACAATTGTGTCGCAATTTTTGTATCCTACTTTATCTGGGTCTCTTTCTCACTCATTGAATTTGTTACATTTTTGTTTATTATTTTATTATTCCAGAGGTATTCGATCGGTCAAACAAAGTACTCTCAAGAATAATAGAGTTAGCGACAACAACGATATTAGAAATTCAATGACTGAGAAAGAGATACACAGATAAAGTAGGATACAAAAAAATTGTGACACAAATTGTGATTCTTCCCGGCGCTTGAGTAAACTAGTGATTTTTTGTGTCCTGTACCAATCAACCCCTGGAATAATAAAATAATAAAACAATGATATAAGAAATTCAATCAGTAAGAAGAAAGAGACAAACATAAAGTAGGATGAAAAAAAATGATACTTGTGGCTTCTAATTTTTTTGAATTTGGCCAATCAAAAAACGATATTATAAATTCAATGGAGTGAAAAAAAGATGCATATAAGTAAAGCAGTAGGATAAAAAAATTGTGTCACAAGTGTCTCTTTCTTACTCATTGAATTTGTTACATCTTACTAAGAGGCAACGATATAGGAAATTTAATGAGCAAGAGCAAGAATACATGGATCAAATAGGATAACAAAAATTGTGACACAAATTGTAATTCTTCCGGCGATTAAGTAATAAACAACGATATACGCAATTCAATTAGTGAAAAAGAGACACAGATAAAGTAGGATTAAAAAATATTACAAGCGCCAGAAATAATCAAGCTTTTCCTTGCCAATATGGCGAAAGTAAAATTCATATTTACTCACCTTCAGCTACTAAAGTACTAGGAGTAGAAGAACTTGATGAGGTAGAATTTTGCGATACTGGAATGTTGGTGACTATCGTGACGTCACTACCATTTTGTTTGGTACCTAATTGGCAAAGAAAAAAATAATATTAGTCAAAGTTTCTTGCATCACAGATAAGATCTTCAACAAATGACAATAAATTAATTCCAACCTTATGACTTGTAAAAGAATAGATAGACAATATACACACATAATTATTGTTTAAACAAATAGGAAAATTATACACACCAATTATTATTATTGCACAAAACTAAAAATTCAACATGATGTGACCCGCTAGAGTAGAAAACCGAAACTACGATTGAATAATTTGGGTAGTAAGTACCGAGAACCAGAACTAAAAAATGGGATGTACCATCATGATGGGCTGAAGCATACTTCCGTATCCGTTTTGCGTAGGAGTGGCACTCACTATTTTTATCCCATTTTATTCTAATGTTTATAGTTGCCGCGCCTTTGAAAAAATCGAACAACTATAATACTTTATTGGCTTTACTAGCTATTGATTTGTTTCTGTAAAAGTATTAGAGTACCTATACATGCATTGTTATGCAATTTTATAACGAAAACCGTGCAATTCGTACAAGGTAACAACATCCCACCCATACAATTAACAAAATTGGTCACACACATTTGAAGCTCAACAATTATTGACCTAATTAATGGATTATTTTTGGTTCTTGTAAAAGAAGCTGCAAACAGAAATATATTACATCATGTAATATAGAATGACATAAAACATGATGATGCCATAGACATCCATGGATAATTGGATATAATATAATGGGTTTGGGATTCAGACACGTAGGACGATGATTACATGAACAATAAATTGGCAGTTGTAACATTATGAATAAAATACCTTCTTTCTTGCTAAATCTCATATTATCCAAAATCTTTTTCCACTTAGAACTTTTCCTTTTGTTAAGGGACATGCAAGAAGTCCAAGGTAACTTCATAATTAACTCACTTTAACTACACTTATACCAACCAACCAACCTCTCTACGTAAGAAATACTTAAGTACTCAGACGATATAAAGTTTTGGTACGCCCTAATATTATATTTCCTTTTGTGTTTTATATGGCGGAACAAATTTGTCTCGAGTCTCGAGACACTCCTTTAGTGATTGATTATTGATTACCTTGATTGCTGCTAATAAATTCGTTGTTTTTGGGGTTTCTGGAAGACGATCGTTCAATGGTTTCTTTTAAGGTGTAGCTCACGCTGGATCCTGGAAGAATATTACAACATTTTAGCTTTAATTGGAATTTTTGGGTGGAATTTTACTTTTTATAGTTTTCTCATGGGTTTCCTGGTGTAGAGTGCGGTACTGTGTTTTCTTTGGTGATGATTCGATGTCTCTGAAAACAAAAATCATATCATTATTAAATGACAATTTAGTACCCCCCAAATTATAAGTCCAAATAAGCTGAAATTTTCAGGGATTATAGTCCTCTATTGGGATAAGAATCGCTGAAAATTTCAGCTTTCTATCTATAATAGAAAAATATAATGAATTTTCAAAGTTTTCAAAAATCCAAGTCATTAGGTAGATACCTTTAGTTCTTAAATTATATAATTTCAATTTTTTTTATGATGAGATTTTGCCTCTAAATGATCATTGGGGCCTCCATACACTAAATTATTCTGAGATTTAAAGCCCAAATCTATGCAAAAAGGACGTCAGAAAATTGAAAAATTGATACATTTTCCCCAAGTTGCTTAACGCGATTTTATTTAGGTCCAAATGAGCTGGAATTTTCAGGAATTGTAGTCCTCCACTGGGATAAGAATCGCTGAAAATTTCAGCGTTCTATCTATAATGAAAAAAAGTTATGAATTTTCAAAGTTTTCAAACATCTTAATCATAAGGTACTAAGATGGATGATGAAATTTCAATTTTTTTTATGTTGGGATTTTGTGTCTAAATGATCGTTGCGGACCCTCCAAACTCCATACACTAAATTATTCTGAGATTTACTTTGCTCCAAACTGCTCTAGAATTAGTGCCTTCTTGTTCATATTGATATTAATGTGAGAAAATATCGATACGTTCCCTACTTTTTCCACATCTCTTTTTTTTCTCAATTTTTTATTTCAATTTTTGTGTATTCCTGGCTCTTGATTTTTTTTTTGAAATAAAGGAAATTTAAGAGCCTGGATTAAAAAAAAAAATTGTGAATATTATCATTATTTGAAACATTCATATTTGCGTCTTGCTTTGAAGGTAGGAAATTACTCCAGAGTGAGTGCAAAGAAACTAGACACTTAGGTACGTCTGATTCAATGCAGAGACAAATTTTGGAACACAAATTTGCAGTTCATTGGAGTCACTAATTTTCTAATACGAACATGGTCTAGAACAATTACAAGGGTGTCGAATACGCTATTATCGCTTATACTAAAACCTGAAACTTGCTCTAGTGCAGTATTTGCTCGTATTTTGTAAGTGCAATGTAATAGTTCATGATTCTGGAGTCAGAGTAAGACTTCTACTATGTTCCAAACCACTCTAGAATTAGTGCCTTCTTTCCCATATTGATATTAAATGTGAGATTAGAGAGTTCTCGTGCTGCCCAAATTTCAAATACCGTAACGCTATTTGACAAGTATGACAGTTCTTACGGTATTAGCGTTAGCGGAGCTAACTATCTAACGGGACTTAGCGGATGCCTTACCATAACCCTATGCTGCGTCAAAATTTTCAAAATTAGTTTACGTTCCATTTCCGTCTGCAAGAACAGCAACTTCTAATAATTCCTCCATAAAAAACGACAAGGGAAAATAATCAAACTCTGAATCTTCAGGAATATTCAGGATAAATAATAAGTTAGAAAACAAGCAAAAAAAAGTTGGGTAAGATCACTCAACTTAGCTGTCAAAATGAAAACAGAATAAGGGATTGGAGGATTTTTGCGTATTCGTGTAATATGAAATACCATGTAAAATACCGTATTGTTAGCGGTACCGTATTAGCGTAGCGTTTGAGGCACGAGAACTCTCTAATGTATCGATACTTTTCCTAATTTTTCTTACATCTATTCTTTTTTCTCAAATTTTTATTTCAATTTTTGTTTATTCCCGGCTCTTGATTTTTTTGAAATAAAGAAAATTCAAGAGCCTGGAATAGAAAAAATGTGAATATTATCATCATTTAAATAAAATATTCGCATATTTGCGTCTTGGTTTAAAGGTAGGAAATTACTCCACTCCAGAGTGAGTGCAAATAAACTAGACACTCACGCTCTGGAACAAGTACAAGGGTATCGAATACGTTATCATCGCGTATACGAAAACCTGAAACTTGCTCTAGTGCAGTTTGCTCGTATTTTGTGAGTGCAATAATGTTAATAATTCATGATTCAGGAGTCAGAGTGAGACTTCTACTATGCTTCAAATTACTCTAGAATTAGTGCCTTCTTGTTCATATTGATAATAATAATGTATGTAAATATCGATAGGTACTTTCTCTACTTGTCTCACATTTCTTCTTTTTTCTCAATTTTTTATTTCAATTTTTGTTTATTCCCGGCATTCGATTTTTTTTGAAGTAAAGAAAATTCAAGTATTTCTGGAACCATACGTTGAAATGAGCTGAAATTTTCAGAGATTGTGGTCCTCCACTGAAATAAGAATCGCTGAAAATTTCAGCTTTCTATCTTTAATAGAAAAAAAGTTATGATTTTTCAAAGTTTGCAAAAATCTAAATCATAAAGCTACCTTAGTACTAAAATGATGAAATTTCAAATTTTTTTATGTTGAGATTTTGTGTCTAAATGATCATTGGGGACCTCCCAAACTCCATACACTAAATTATATCTATACTTAATAGAAAAAAAGTTATGAGTTTTCAAAGTCTTCAAAAGTCCAAATCATAGCGCAGGAATATACTTGAACAATAACTTATTATATAAAGTCAGAATTTGTAAGATTATCCACTTTTTGTCAATTTGCCTTAGGAATTAGTAATGTTACTTTTTCAAATTAGTAACATAATGTGACAAGTTATTCAAGTACAAACGAGTGGATTGTTGCGGAACTTATGGATGTACCTATGGGCGCGTTTGGGTACACGCTCGGTGCACTCAGAGCTTGCACTTTTGTCTCTTTTCCGTTATTTTTGAAGCTCCGACAACGCTTGATTGTGTTTGGTTTGACATATTTTGAGCGCTCAGATCGAGCTCGATAAACCCCGAGTTTGTGGAGTGGGCAGCTGGAGCGTGCATGCGCAGATCAAATGTGTTCAATCTTTCTGTATAACCTAACCTATTTTCCATGATAAGGTAAATAAACAATCCTGAATTTTAACATATATTTGTTAGCTGAATAGTTTTACCTATTTTGTTTAAATGTTAAAAATCACATAGCTAGTAAATTCTGCATAATTGTTTACGGTACTCATCACTGGTATTAGTAAACATATTTTTCCAAGGGAACTTGGCAACCTCAGAGTGTTTAGGTCCGTTTTATTGTTTATGTAGCACGACATTTTTAGCAGAACACAAGAGAAAATGTGGCTGTTTGAAAATTATCGACAAAAATAAAAAACAAACGAGAAAACTCTGGTGCAAATGCGGAATACGCGTCCAGACTCCCAAAAATATATCCTAAAAAAAAAAAAACAACAATCAGCTGATCGCTCAACCCAGCACTTTTGCACGAGTTTATTTGGCTTGACACGGTGTACTCCCTGTGACGTCACGTTACTCCGTAATCGCTCTGCTCGCTCCGCCGAGCATCAACCCAAACGCGCCCCATGTAGCCATCTACTCACCAATATACTGTTGAACTGTTCAAGTAAGACATTCACCTGAAACGTGTAGTTTTTGAACTAATGAGAAAAACTCACAACTGAGAGAATCAGGTTAGTATCGTACTAAAACAACATATTAATATAGATGGCTGCGGAACTCGCTGCGCTCGTCCCGCAGAGGTCCACCCATAAGTTCCGCAACAATCCACTTATTTGTACTTGAACAATAACTTATTATATAAGGTCAAAATTTGTGAGATTATCCACTTTTTGTCAATTTGCCTTTTAAAAGAAATTAGTAAGGTTACTTTATAAATCTAGGAACATAATGTGTCAAGTTATTCCAAGTACCAACGAGTGGATTGTCGCGGAACTTATGGTTGGACTACGATACTAACCTGACTCACTCAAATGTCAGTTATTCTCATTAGCTCAAAAACTACACGTTTCAGGTGAGTGTCTTATTTGAATAGTTCAACAGTCTATTGTGAATAGATGGCTGCGGAACTCGCTGCGCTCGTCCCGCAGAGGTCCACTCGTAAGTTCCGCAATAATCCACTTATTTGTATTTGAACAATTACTTATTATGTAAAGTCAAAATTTGTAAGATTATTCACTTTTTGTCAATTTGCCTTTCAACAGAAATTAGTAATGTTACTTTACCAAACTAATAAGATAATGTAACAAGTTATTCAAGTACAAACGAGTGAATTGTTGCGGAATTTTTGGGTGGACCTCTGCGGGACGAGCGCAGCGAGTTCCGCAGCCATCTATTCATCAATATGTTGTTCAATACGATATTAACCTGACACTCAAATGTGAGTTATTCTCATTAGTTTAAAACTTAAACGTTTCAGGTGAGTGTCTTATTTGAATAGTTCAACAGTATATTGATGAGTAGATGGCTGCGGAACTCACTGCGCCCTAAATATATCAAAAAAGGCACCCAGAAAATTGAAAAATTGATAAAATTACTCCAAATTGCTTAACATACGATTTTATTTCTGGAACTGTAAACCTAACTGAGCTGAAATTGCCAGGGATTGAAGTCCTCTACTGGGATAAAAATCGCTGAAAATTTCAGCTTTCTATCTCTAATAGAAAAAAAAGTTATGGCTTAATCATAAGGGCGTCCGGAAAATTGAAAAATTCACTGAAAGGACAGGAGAAAAAGTTGAGAAAACAGCAGCAGAAAACTTCGTGGGACAAAAAAGAAAAAGATGAAAAAAAAAAAGATGTGGAAAAGGCGGGACGGAGAAAACTAAAGAACAGCGATAGAAATGCTAGAAAATAGGGGGGAAAAACGAATCAAAAGAGGTGAAAATTGAAAAAAAAAACATGGGACACAAATGGTAGAAATGGGATGTGAACAATTAGAAAAACAAAGAAAAATGATAAAATTGTCGAAAAAAAAAACTGAAAAAATTCAAAAAATACCAGAGCAAAGGCAAAGGAAACAAAAAAATACAAAACGAGTATGTTAAAAAGGAAACCTGGAATAAATTTTATTGAAATTCTCCAATACAGGAAGCAGAAAAATCTGAGAAAACGAAAACATGAAAAATTTGCAGTAAAAAATTAGAAGTTGAAGAAAACCAGGCGATTGGGAATAGGTAGAGACAGACAGTGGAAAAGAAAAAAATTGAGAGAAAAGTTAAAAAAAACAAGAAGGAAATATAAACTAATAATGGAAGAACCCTATGAAAAGAGGAGGTAGAAGGATCTAACACGAAAATAAGAAATAGTTAAAAAAGCCCGCATAGAAAGGAGAAATGAAAAATTATGGAAAAATACTAAAAACATTAGAGCAGAGAGCAAAAACATGGAAAAAATTGCGAGCAAAAAGAACTGAACAAAAAAAAACACGAAAAATTAATTGTAGAAAAAGAAATTTAAAAAGCAACACGAGGAAAGAGTATAGTGATAAAAAAAGACTTGAGAAAATAAAGTTGAGAAATGGTTGCGAAAAGGCAAAAGATTGTGGGAAAGGCAAAGTAAATTGAGGAAAAAGCAAAAAAATAAAACTAGAAAACAGCAAAGGAGAAAAACTTAAAATTAAGGAAAAATAAAAAAAGTCAAAAAATGACCTTCGGGAAAGGAAAGTTCAGGAAACTTCAGATCCAAAAGCCTTAGAAAAATAATGGAGAAGCATTTGAAAAAGCATTGAAGAAATTCTATAAACTACACCAAATTCTAAAGTTATTGAGATCACAATTGCGTGCTACAAAAGCTGATTTTTCTACAAAATTTTCTCATAATAAAAACTGATCATTTTTCATTATTCAGTTGCAGATATAGAAGCTGGAATTAATGTGTTCTTACAAACTCAGACTCACCAGCAATAATTGGATTTAAAACAGCCTTTTGGCACTTAACCTACATAGAAAGTATGCGAATTTTTTTCCAAAAATTTCACGCAACTACTCGACCAACCACCCGTGTTGATCTATAAAAGATTTCCACTTAATAATAGCCGGTGATCGTGACACAGTCTGGCCTCTCTGCTAAAAATTCGAAAAGCAATATTGCACTCAATCTATTTTTAAGCCATTTTTTTTTCAAAATAAATTTTTCGTAAATTACGAAGCTTGTTTTGGCAAATAATATAATTTTCGATTATTGTGTATCTAATTAGTTGAAACGGTTGAATGCATTATTTTGCTCCGGCCTCACCCTTTTATATACGATTATGTCAAGCAGAAATCCTCATATAATACACCTACACTTATAATAGTAGCGTATTATTGAAATAAATCCTAAATTAAATATGTTACGCCACTGGTTTGATAATTACTTACTTGTTCAGTCCTAACTTTAAAGTACTGCTGCCAGTGTTTTTGAGTAAATTATGTGCCTCATTGTTTGTCAAGTTTTTGGTACTTAAGTCGTTGATTGAAGTAATAAAATCCCCTTCTCTGATACCTCTTTGGGCTGCTTTGCTTCCAGGATTTACCTGGAAATATTTTGAAGTTATATCAAACAATTAATATTATATAATACTAACTAGAAATTCTCTACGTCTTCCATAAGGCGAACAAAACTTTAACATTTTTTTTATAATTCACACACTATATGACCACATGCATACACGACTGAAAAGTTTTTGACACATGTAAACTTAAAGCCCTTCTTTTTAACAAGACACATGTATAAGCGGCCAGACTGAAGTACTACATACCACACATATCAATTAAGCATAAAATGTAAAAGAGTCATTGTAAGTTCTTGGAATATGGCTAAAGAACAAAACGAAATGGTGTGTGTATTATGTTTTTAATATTCAGTGCGTATATATGTTTAGATAAAGGGCCTTTTGAATTTTTAGGAAAAAAGCACTTAAAATGCAAGAAGTTGTATGATACTTTGTACACTCAATCACTAACTGAATATATCGGAAATGGAAACAAAGATATTTTCTGTGGGCAACCGCCCCCTATTTGGGAAGTATTAAATTACTTTTTACAACATTACAAAATATAAACATTTTATGATATTGAAGCAATAGAGGAAATGTGCGAATAGGAAAATCTTATTACGTTGTAGGAATTGATGCCGCCAAAATAGGAAGTTTGTGGAAAATTTATCCAATTAATTATAATTTTTTACTAATTTTTTGTTTATTCCAGGCTCTTGAATGTTTTCCTCAGTCCCAAACATCTCCTGTAGAATTTATTATCAAGAATCTTTGGTGAATTTGTTGTAATTTCTCATTCTCAAAGATGTCTCATGAGTCGATAAGTTATTTGTCATTCTTGAGAATCTTTTATGTAGTTTTTCAGTGTGAGGAGTCTCTGTCATAATGTTGTTTCTCATTTTCAAATAATAAACCTTTTCAAATATTTCTATTCTTCTCATCCACAAGAATATCTGGTTGATTTATAGTGATCTATAATTCTCAAAAATATCTGTTGAATCAAGGAATTGTTTCTCAGTCTTGAGACTCTGTTATGTAGTAGGTATTTCATTCTAAAGAATCTCTGTTGGATTTTTCATTAGTTTCTCATCATTCTCAGAAAAATGAAAATCTCTGCTAGTTGTTTCTTATTCGCAAAAATATCTTTATAGGATCTATTAACAATTTTCTCATTCCTCAGTTCCAAACATCTCTGTTAAATTTGATTGTTGCTTCTCATTCCCAAGAATCTTTAGTGAATTTGTTGTACCTAATTGCTCATTCTCAAAGATGTCTCAATGAGTCGATAAGTTAATCGTCATTCGTGAGAATCTTTTATGTAATTTTTCAGTCTGAGAAGTCTCTGTTATAATGTTGTTTCTCATTTTCAAATAATAAACTTTCTCAAATATTTCTATTGAAAACTTCTTTGTTGCTTCTCATCCACAAGAATATCTGGTTGATTTATAGTGATTTATAATTCCTAAAAATGTCTGTTGAATCGGTGAATTGCTTCTCAGTCTTGAGAGTATGTCATGAAGTAGGTATTTCATTCTAAAGAATCTCTGTTGGATTTTTCATAAGTTCCTTATTCTCAGAGAAATAAAAATCTTTACTAGTTGTTTCTCATTTGTAAAAATATCTGTAGCATCTGTTGAGAATTTTCTCATTCCTCAGTCCCAAACATCTCCTGAAGAATTTGATTGCTGCTTCTCATTATCAAGAATCTTTGGTGAATTTGTTGTAATTTCTCATTATCAAACATGTCTCATGAGTCGATAAGGTATTTGTCATTCTTGAGATTCTTATATAGTTTTTCAGTCTGAGGAGTCTCTGTCATAATGTTGTTTCCTATTTTCAAATAATAAAGCTTCTCAAATATTTTTGTTGAAAACTTCTTTGTTGCTTCTCATCCACAAGAATATCTGATTGATTTATAGTGATCTATAATTCTCAAAAAAGTTTGTTGAATCGGTGAATTGTTTCTCAGTCTTGACAGTCTGTCATGTAGTAGGTACTTATTTCATTCTAAAGAATCTCTTTTGGATTTTTCATGAATTCCTCATTCTCAGAAAAATAAAAATCTCTGCTAGTTGTTTCTTATTCGCAAAAATATCTATATAGGATCTGTTGAGAATTTTCGCATTCCTCATCAGTCCCAAACATCTGCCTGTAAAATTTGACTGCTGCTTCTCATTATCAAGAATCTCTGGTGAATTTGTTTTAATTTTTCATTATCAAAGATGTCTCATGAGTCGATAAGTTATTTGTCATTCTTGAGAAACATTTATGTAGTTTTTCAGTCTGAGGAGGAGTCTTTGTCATAATGTTGTTTCTCATTTTCAAATAATAAACCTTCTCAAATATTTCTGTTGAAAACTTCTTTGTTGGTTCTCATCCACAAGAAAATCTGGTTGATTTAATAGTGATCTATAATTCTCAAAAATATCTGTTGAATCAAGGAATTGTTTCTCAGTCTTGACAGTCTGTTATGTATAGTAGGTATTTTCTTCTAAAAAATCTCTATTGGATTTTTCATGAGTTCCTCATTCTCAGAAAAATAAAAAAATATCTATATAGGATCTTTTGAGAATTTTCTCATTCCTCAGTCCCAAACATCTCCTGTAGAATTTGATTGCTGCTTCTCATTATCAAGAATCTTTGGTGAATTTGTTGTAATTTCTCATTCTCAAAGATGTCTCATGAGTCGTTAAGTTATTTGTCATTCTTGAAAATCTTTCATGTAGTTTGTCAGTCTGAAGAGTCTCTGTGAGATTTGTCATCATGTTGTTCCTCATTTTCAAATAATAAACATTCTCAAATATTTCTGTTGAAAATTTCTTTGTTGCTTCTCATTCACAAGAATATCTAGTGATCTATAAGAAGTCTGTTGAATCGGTGAATTGTTTCTCAGTCTTGATAGTTTGTCATGTAGTAGGTATTTCATTGAATTAGATTAGTCCAATTTTTGATTTTAAGTGGCTATTGACTCAATACATAGAGGCGATCAAGAGCCAGTAATAGCTGGAAAGATTGATGATAGATCAAGGGACAATGGTATAATGATCAGAATTTTGACTATCACCGCCGGATCTTGATTGATTTTATTGATTTTTTTTTTTTAGAATTAAGAAGTCAAAAGTTTATAAAACAATTCAAGGAGTCACCGTCAATTCGTCGAAAATCAATGTGCCATACGTCAATTCGCCGTACGCCAATTCGGCATAAAGTCAATTTGTCGTAACATTATTTCGTGGTATACGCCAATTCGTCGTATAGGTAACTTGTCGTATACGTCAATTCGTCGTATTTCAGGTATAATGTTAAAATATTGAAATGTATAAAGGACCCCGCACACCTCTTATGGGTATTTAGTTTTCTGTTAAACTCAATGAAATTTTGTTAGATCTTGACTTCGTGATAAAAAGTTCTCATGGGCTCGAACCAATCCTATAATTAGTTTTTGAGATACAGGTACTTTATAATCATACAGTTTTGTATATTTTCGTAATGGTTCTCTATTCGTAGGTCAATCGAGTGTACGCCACTGGTATTTTAATGTTTCTGACTACCCCCTCAACCTTTCCATGTTGATATGAATTCAATCCTATGTACAGTTTTTGAAAAATCAAACTTTAATGTCCAAGAAATGTACACATTTTATACAGGGCTTTCAAAACTTGCCACTCACGTTATCTATGTTAAGAGGCATGTTTGTGGAAATCGCCGAAACACTTCAACAAATTTATTGGGGGGGAAGGTTTTTTACGTGAAACTGGACTTCCTTCCTTCAATCCCCAGAGCTACCACCCCAAAATTTTCAAATGAGACAGGGGGTCGAGTGATAGATCATTTTAAAGGGTTGTTTAATCTATATATTTTGCCGTCCTATTTTTTAAATTTGACCTCACTGTTGCAGAATAACACCCATTTTAATGTTCAAAAATGCCTATTTATCCCTAAATACACCTGCTTATTGCTATGGGATGAAAAGGTAGGTAAAAAAGCAGGTGTGTTAAAAGATAAATAAGCATTTTTAAACATTGCAATGGGTGTTATTTTGCAACACTGAGCTTAAATTCGAAAAATAGGACGGCAAAATGTACAGAATAAACAGCTCTTTAAAATGATCTATCACTCGACCCCCTATTTCATTTAAAAATTTTGGGGTGGTAGCTCTGGGGGTTGGGGGGTTGAAGGAAGGAAGTCCAGTTTTACGTGAAAAACCTTCCCCCCCAATTTTATTAACGTGTTTCGGCGGTTTCCACAAACATGTCTCTTAACGCAGATAACGTGGGTGGCAAGTTTTGAAATGAAAGCCCTGTATGTATTTATCTACGCCAGTGAGTTAAAAAGTTCTTAACTTACGCATTTCGAGTGAGTTAAGAGCTTCTTAACTCCCGCATTTTCATTACCGCACCCAGTGAGTTAAGAATAAGCTCTTAACTCACTCATTTTGAGTGAATTAAGAGCTTCTTAATTCACGCATTTTCATTACCGCACTCTTTCTTAGGTTTTTGAAACTATAGTGACATCAATATTATTTACTATCAAATTGATATGAAACCATGCATGGTGTTATCGTGTTTTCATTGGTCAAGTTTATATTGTTATTTGAACAAAAGGTATTGAGGTGATTCAGGTAGCTGGTTTTTAGAATAGGTAATACAATGATTATTGAAATTAAATTTTTTTGTGTTTTTGAAGTTAAGAGCATATGGCGTAGATAAAATTTTGTAGAATACACGTGAGTTAACCCTCATTAAAATACCTGTGTGGTTGTGTGCAACTTCCACATGCGTATCTTAATGATGCTGTTAACTCACTTGTATCGTAAATATCTATTACCGTTAATACAACCAAATAATATACCAGGATGGACAGGTATTCTCACGCTCAGGTGACAGGTAGATTTAAATGTATAAAAAATGTCTACAGTGGGAATCATTCCAATTGGCCCACTATACTCTTTTAACATCCCTCGTATTAAGTCAAAATTCTAACCAATAAATCTATTCAGTGCAGCGGTGTACAAATATTTTTTTCCTTTAACAGTTTATTAAAACAATTATGTTCACCACTGATTTATCAATCTGACATGATATTGAAATTACCTGTGTGTCAATGAAGTCAAATTTTGACACATTACGGGGGATGTTTATATAGTGTGTATAAATTTCAATGATTCTTACTGTACATTTCTTGGATATTAAACTAGCTGTATCTCAAAAACTAGTCATAGGATTGGTTCGGGCCCATGAGAACTTTTTATCAGGAAGTGAAGGTCTAACACATATCAAAATTTCATCGAATTTGACAGAAAACCAGATAGTTACCCATAAGAGGTGTGTAAAGGACCCCCACTTTCTCGTTATTTCAAACATTACCAAACTTACCAATGATAACCTGGTAAGTATGCAATTTTAACCAAACATTATATTGCAAACTAACCCATACTAATGGGGTTATTATTGGATAATGTCTGATTAAAATAATTGCAAACTAATAATTCGTCGTATACGTCAGTTCGTCGTATTGTCAGTTTGTCGTATTCCAGGTACAATGTTAAAATGTATAAATTTGCACTTTTACTGTTTAATCGGACAATTATCCCTATATTGTCGTATACGTTACTTTACGGCAATTTGACGAATAGGACAAATTTAAAGTGCGACAAGTGAGTGAACCTGTGTGGAAGGAATGCGGGCAAAACGCTCCTGATTGGCGCGAGATTAAATATACATATACGCGGGTCGTCGCGTCAGGGTAACCGCAATTTTCGCAATGCACCACGTCGGGGACCAGTCGCGTCGTATAGTATAGATTTTCGTCTTCCCCTCTGCTACTTCATACGTTACCAAGGTTCACTCAGTTGTCGCACTTTACTTTACGACGACTTGACGTATACGTCGAATCAACGCTACGACGAATTGACAATATAGGTAATTCGTCGTTACTATCGGTTAGTTTGATAATGTCCGATTTAATAGAAAAAGTGCAAATTTATACATTTTAACATTATACCTGAAATACGACAAATAAATAGACTTTACGACGAATTGACGTATATGACAAATTGCCTTTACGACGAATTTACATATACGATGAATTGACTTTACGACATATTGATTTATGGCCATATTCTCCGTAGTTCATAAAGCCTGGCTTAGTGGAAAAGCTCGACTTTTGGCCATTTGCACCGCTATCACTTAAGGGATATTTAATTTAAGTGGAGCTTTTGAATGTGACTTTTGTTTCTACGAGAATCACATTCAAAGCTCCACTTGGATTAAATATCCCTTAAGTTATAGCGGTGCCAATGGCCGTTAGTCACACAAAAATCCAAGCGTTTCCACTAAGCCAGGCTTTATAAACTACGGAGAATATGGCCCTTAGAGCCCAATTTAAGTTTCGATTATTATAATTGATTCTTGATTTTCTCTATGAAGATATATTGTTCAACGAAACCGAATTCTGATTATTACCAGTTCCATTGATTTGCATTACAATTCATTTTGAAGCCATCAAGAGTCGTTAATAAATAGTCCAATTTTTGACTGAAATTGATTTTTAATTCAAATGGACTATTTATACAGAGGCGACACACATTTTGCCTCACAACTTTGTTGATTTCAATCCGATTTTAACGTAATTGGGCTGGAATCAATGCCAATTAAATCCTCTAAAAATCTATGTATGGTAAGTGGACAGAAGAAAATTTCAATTTCCCAAATTGCAATATTTGAGTTGGAAAAAGAGTTAATAGAATGGAAAGAAATGTGGACATTCGATGAAAAAATATGTGAAAAAAAGGAAAGCTGGGAGAAGGTCGAGCGAAAGTACAAAACTGGAAAAACAGTGAGGAAGAAAGCCATGAAAAAGTGCAAAAAATGTTCGAAAAAGTGAAGAATGAAAAAAAAAAAAAAAAAACAAGGAAAAAGCAAAAAACGAAAAACTAGAAATCAGCGAGAAAAGTAGAGAGAAAATTACAAAAGGAGCGTGTAGAAAGGAAAACTTGGAATAGTTTGGAGGAAAAAGAAAACGGAAAAGACGCAAATGGAAAATACTACAGAAACGTGAAACAAACATTAGAAAAAGCTGGAATTTTTTTGTTTATTCCAGGCTCTTGAATGTTATCCTTGACTAATTCAGTTTCAATAGTCAAAAAATCAAATTTTGAACTTTTTTTTACATTGAACAAATTCAATGTGGTAATCTATACTTTTCTCTTGTGGCATTCCTTTTACTAGTGAATTAAATATTTACTCTGAGAACATCCAAATATAAATCCATTATTGCGAGATCTAAATTTAACATCGGCATGGTGATTCCGGGTGTCTGCCATGCCTTTCATCTATAATACGATTCGAAGAAAATGTGTTTATTATCACGATTCGTTAATTTTCTCAACAATAATTCACTTTCCTCTCTCGTAACATTCTCGAGTGCCTGATGGTTTTTGACCTTCCACACCGTGAACTCTTGACTATGGTTTAAATGATTCCGATTGGATAAGGTTTATTTTAAAATATTGAAAAATTTTTAGGTGCAGTTGATTGAACAATATTTACCGGTTATAATAAATGCTTCCTACATAACATAATTTAATCCAATTATGCCTATAATATAAACGGGATGCAATTAATTTAATATGGATTTAATAATAAGTATAGTAGTGTTTTATGCAATGTAATTGGAATGAGTTAATTAGTAGCTAGCTATATGCGACAGATGTTATTGGAATGTTGGATTATGATGTTAAGGTCTGTTCTCACAAAAATCACATTACAAACCATTCTGTAAGAACAAACCACAAAAGTGTGTTATTTACTCACCCTTAGGAAAAGTTACTCACTCACCCTCGAAACTTTGAGAGGCGTCGTCGAATCGACGCCGCCGTGCATACGAAATCCCCATGGTGGGCCGCCGTCCAAAGTCACTTCTTTTTGTGTCATGACAGTTTTTTTTCGCCAATTTTTTTTATTTTTCTGGACTAGCGCCAACTGGAACACGTTAGGATTATGTTCGTAAATGCACATATAAATCGAAATTATTGGTTGTTTAGAATAATAGCGGGATCGGCCTTCTTACGTTGATTATCTTGTAAGTTATGAGATACCTGTGACAGGTATAAAAGCATGATTTAATGTGTAGGTGTTAGAGAAATAATAACGTTTCAATGGAGTGTAACAGTATATCTATCTTTGGGCTGAAATTCTCAAGGACTGTAATCTTCTGCTGGGATAAGAATCGCTGAAAGTTTCAGCTTTCTATCTGTAATAGAAAAAAAGTTATGACCTTTCAAAGTTTTCGAAAATCTAAATCATAAGGTACCTTCTTACTGAAACGATGAAATTTCATTTTTTTTTTGTCGAGATTTTGTATCCTAATGATCAATCAACATCCCTCAAACTCCATACACTAAATAATTCTCAGATTTGAAGTCGAAATCTATGAAAAAAGGCACTCAGAAAAATGGAAAAATTGATAAATCAGCCCAAATTGCTTAACACGATTTTATGTCAGGAACTATAAGTGCCAATGAGCTGACATTTTCGGGGATTGTAGTCCCTTGATTGGGATAAAATTCAGTGAAAGTTTCAGCTTTCTATCTATAATAGAAAAAAAGTTATGACCTTTCAAAATTTTCCAAAATCTAAATCATAAGGTAACCCCTACTACCTTCTTATTAAAACGATGAAAGTTCAAAATTTTTTCATTGAGATTTTGCACCCTAATGGTCAATTAACATCCCCTAAACTCCATACACTGAAATATTCTCAGATTTGAAGCCGAAATCTATGAAAAAAGGCACTCAGAAAAATTGAAAAATTGATAAATCACCCCAAATTGCTTAACACGATTTTATTTCTCAAATTATAAGTCCAAATGAGGTGAAATTTTCGGGGATTATAGTCCTCTACTGACATAAAAATCGCTGAAAATTCCAGCTTGCAATCACTAATAGAAGAAAAGTTATGATTTTTTTAAGTTTCCAAAAATCTAAATCATCAGGTAGCTTGGTTTCTCTAGGAAAAGGTTCCTAAAAACATTATTTAGGTTCTGATTTTTTTTTGAGGGGACTTTAAGAACTGAACATTCTGAAAACCTGGGAAATGTCTTACTGCTTTTATAGAAAAACTGTATGTAGTCTGAACTTTGAGTCATTAAAAATTGCTGAATCTTCTAGGAGAATTGGGAATGTTAGGATTTCTAAATTTTGTCAAATTCTTAAAATTTTTCAACAAATCCTTTTGCAAATTTGTTTGTTTTTGAAGGGATGTGTCCTCAAATCTTAAGGTCCTCAGGTCCTGAATTATATAAACTTTGAAAATTTTTTCAAATTATAATTTGGTAAAAAAAGACATTACTTTCTTGATAGATAGTGAATCTTGGGTCATTACTTTGCAATATCCCTGGCTATTTTTACGAGAAAAATCTTATTAGAACTAAGTGTATATGAATCGAAAACTTATTTTGGAACTCTGCAAATTTATCTAAATAGAAACGATTCTATCAGGTTTAAAATAGAGAAAATCCCTAAGTGTCTATCATTTTTCTTCAATTTTTTAAATATTTTTTCTCTCACTTTTTGTCTATTCCTGGCTCTTGGGATTTGCGTCTTTTTCCAAATTAAACGAAACTCAAGATCTAGGAATAGAAAAAATATGTGAATTTGCCTTTTCCTTCTCTTTCGAATATCCTCTATCAATTTCTTGATTTCTCTGTCTCAATTTTTGTTTATTCCTGGATCTTGAACTTGTATCTTTTTCTAAATCAAAGAGATTAAAGAGCCAGGAACAGAAAAATATGTCTACTTGTCTTCACTTTTTCTCTGAAATTTTTTCTATTAAAAAACTAGAAAATTAAGTTTCTCAACTCTGAGTCATTATAAATTTGCAAGCTTCTTGATTCTTTTCTAAATAGACTCCCTAAATCCTATATCTTGACTCATTATCTACTTTGCGAACTATTAGTGCCAATGAGCTGACATTTTCAGGGATTGTAGTCCCTTGATTGGGATAAAATTCAGTGAAAATTTCAGCTTTCTATCTATAATAGAAAAAAAGTTATGACCTTTCAAAGTTTTCCAAAATCTAACTCATAAGGTAGCTACCTTCTTACTGAAACGATGAAATTTCAATTTTTTTTTTGTCGAGATTTTGTATCCTAATGATCAATCAACATCACTCAAACTCCATACACTAAATAATTCTCAGATTTGAAGTCGAAATCTATGAAAAAAGGCACTCAGAAAAATTGAAAAATTGATAAATCACCCCAAATTGCTTAACACGATTTTATCTCAGGACCTATAAGTGCAAATGAGCTGAAATTTCCAGGGATTGTAGTCCCTTGATTGGGATAAAATTCAGTGAAAATTTCAGCTTTCTATCTATAATAGAAAAAAAGTTATGACCTTTCAAAGTTTTCCAAAATCTAACTCATAAGGTAGCTACCTTCTTACTGAAACGATGAAATTTCAATTTTTTTTTTGTCGAGATTTTGTATCCTAATGATCAATCAACATCCCTCAAACTCCATACACTAAATAATTCTCAGATTTGAAGTCGAAATCTATGAAAAAAGGCACTCAGAAAAATGGAAAAATTGATAAATCAGCCCAAATTGCTTAACACGATTTTATCTCAGGAACTATAAGTGCCAATGAGCTGACATTTTCAGGGATTGTAGTCCCTTGATTGGGATAAAATTCAGTGAAAATTTCAGCTTTCTATCTATAATAGAAAAAAAGTTATGACCTTTCAAAGTTTTCCAAAATCTAACTCATAAGGTAGCTACCTTCTTACTGAAACGATGAAATTTCAATTTTTTTTTTGTCGAGATTTTGTATCCTAATGATCAATCAACATCACTCAAACTCCATACACTAAATAATTCTCAGATTTGAAGTCGAAATCTATGAAAAAAGGCACTCAGAAAAATTGAAAAATTGATAAATCACCCCAAATTGCTTAACACGATTTTATCTCAGGACCTATAAGTGCAAATGAGCTGAAATTTCCAGGGATTGTAGTCCCTTGATTGGGATAAAATTCAGTGAAAATTTCAGCTTTCTATCTATAATAGAAAAAAAGTTATGACCTTTCAAAGTTTTCCAAAATCTAACTCATAAGGTAGCTACCTTCTTACTGAAACGATGAAATTTCAATTTTTTTTTTGTCGAGATTTTGTATCCTAATGATCAATCAACATCCCTCAAACTCCATACACTAAATAATTCTCAGATTTGAAGTCGAAATCTATGAAAAAAGGCACTCAGAAAAATGGAAAAATTGATAAATCAGCCCAAATTGCTTAACACGATTTTATCTCAGGAACTATAAGTGCCAATGAACTGACATTTTCAGGGATTGTAGTCCCTTGATTGGGATAAAATTCAGTGAAAATTTCAGCTTTCTATCTATAATAGAAAAAAAGTTATGACCTTTCAAAGTTTTCCAAAATCTAACTCATAAGGTAGCTACCTTCTTACTGAAACGATGAAATTTCAATTTTTTTTTTGTCGAGATTTTGTATCCTAATGGTCAATTAACATACCCCAAACTCCATACACTAAATAATTCTCAGATTTGAAGTCGAAATCTATGAAAAAAGGCACTCAGAAAAATGGAAAAATTGATAAATCAGCCCAAATTGCTTAACACGATTTTATCTCAGGAACTATAAGTGCCAATGAACTGACATTTTCAGGGATTGTAGTCCCTTGATTGGGATAAAATTCAGTGAAAATTTCAGCTTTCTATCTATAATAGAAAAAAAGTTATGACCTTTCAAAGTTTTCCAAAATCTAACTCATAAGGTAGCTACCTTCTTACTGAAACGATGAAATTTCAATTTTTTTTTTGTCGAGATTTTGTATCCTAATGATCAATCAACATCCCTCAAACTCCATACGCTAAATAATTCTCAGATTTGAAGCCGAAATCTATGAAAAAAGGCACTCAGAAAAATTGAAAAATTGATAAATCACCCCAAATTGCTTAACACGATTTTATCTCAGGAACTATAAGTGCCAATGAGCTGAAATTTTCAGGGATTGTAGTCCCTTGATTGGGATAAAATTCAGTGAAAATTTCAGCTTTCTATCTATAATAGAAAAAAAGTTATGACCTTTCAAAGTTTTCCAAAATCTAACTCATAAGGTAGCTACCTTCTTACTGAAACGATGAAATTTCAATTTTTTTTTTGTCGAGATTTTGTATCCTAATGATCAATCAACATCCCTCAAACTCCATACACTAAATAATTCTCAGATTTGAAGTCGAAATCTATGAAAAAAGGCACTCAGAAAAATGGAAAAATTGATAAATCAGCCCAAATTGCTTAACACGATTTTATCTCAGGAACTATAAGTGCCAATGAGCTGACATTTTCAGGGATTGTAGTCCCTTGATTGGGATAAAATTCAGTGAAAATTTCAGCTTTCTATCTATAATAGAAAAAAAGTTATGACCTTTCAAAGTTTTCCAAAATCTAACTCATAAGGTAGCTACCTTCTTACTGAAACGATGAAATTTCAATTTTTTTTTTGTCGAGATTTTGTATTCTAATGATCAATCAACATCACTCAAACTCCATACACTAAATAATTCTCAGATTTGAAGTCGAAATCTATGAAAAAAGGCACTCAGAAAAATTGAAAAATTGATAAATCACCCCAAATTGCTTAACACGATTTTATCTCAGGAATTATAAGTCCAAATGAGTTGAAATTTTCAGGGATTGTAGTTCTCTATTGGAATAAGAATCGCTGAAAATTTCAGTTATGACTTTCCCAATTTTTCAAAAATCCAAATCAAAATAAGATAACTACTTTAGAACCAAAATGATGAAATTTCAATTTTTTTTATGTTGAGATTTTGTGTTTAAATGACCATCGGGGATCCCCTGAACCCCATAAACTAAATTATTCTGAGATTTGAAACCGAAATCTATGAAAAAAGAACGCAAGGAAAATTGAAAAATCCGAAAATTCTAATAGTATCATTAATATCGAATTCAATTTCCATTATCCGACAACCTTTACATCGGCACGTTCTAGTGTCGCACTAACATTATGAGCAAACTTAAATATTATTGACAATAGTATTTTGTAAGAATTATTTCCATATATTGCAAAAAATCTTCTTTAAAACTTAATCAATGACCTTTAGCAAGCCTTTTAACATAAATAATTTCAAATTTAAATTGTAAATCTGTAATTGTATAGGACTGGTTCTTTTTGCGAATGAAATAAATTCTTGTATTACCTTTTCACAACACTTTGATCACTACAACATCACAAGACACAACACTAGTGTTTTCATCATAAAAATGAGCCGTATTTTTGTGCTGAAGGAGCGCAGCTCTAACTATACTTGACTCGAAGCTTTCTGGCGGCAAATTAACTATATACTACAATCTACGTTCCTCGAGATGTGTTTATTTTACACAATAATTACAGCCCAAGGAACATAAACATGTGTGTGTCTATAGGTGTTTTTGTGTATTTAGGTTTGTTTGGTTTTTTTAAATATGGCCCTAAACTTGTTAGATAATATTTGAAGATTAGAATACCTACATTTCTGCAGAATATTCTCTACTAACATCGTCCTAGTTTTCAACCCTTAGTCCTTTGACATTTTCCCTCTATAGCCAGGAGCAGGGATATTAAACAGGACAGAGACCTTTCGTTCCAAAAGGTTTTCATTAAAAGCCTAGTAGGTAAATATTAACACAGCTTTATAGAAAAATATTTACCTGTCTTATAAAAAGAACTTTCTAATAATATACTAATAATTCTGTTTCTAATTATATGAATGCAATCATAAAGTAGGTATTTCTTATTGAGTTTCATATATACACATGCATGTAATAGTAAAATAAATTTATAAATAACATCATAAGTATGGGTACTTACTTACTTTTTCTTTAAAAGTTTATTCACCCGCAATCATTTCACCACTACTGTCACTTTTATATTTGAATAGAAAAATAAACGATTTTGGACATTTTATTTTGATATAAAACGAGTGCTGTATATTGGCGTCTGTAAGGCTGGAAAATCGATAAGAAAATGCAGGCAGAACAGCTGATGTAATTTTCAGTCGGATAAGGGCTAGTCATGATAGGGATAAGGTGCACTTTAGTTGATTAAAGAAGGGACCAACGATAAATTAAGTACCTATATAGGAAGAGGAAAAAAGCATATGTTCAGCTTTTTCTAAATTTTCACTTTTATAGCTTAAAAAGTTCAGTTTTTCATTTTCTTTCTTCCTGGATTTTTATACTTGGTTTAAAATCCATATTTTATTCACAATCTGTTTTCCAAAGGTACAGGTAAATTTATCACCTTTCCCTATCAAATAGCATTGAAAGGTGATAAATTTAACCTGTATTTTTGATTGTGAATAGATAATATATATAGTATTCCTGGCGTTTGATCCCAAACATAGGAAACGAGAATAATCAGAAATTGGATATTGAAATTGATTCTGATTGAAAATAGACAAAAATTGAACTCGTAAAATTAAGAATCAAAGAGAAGAAATATAAGAAAAATCAGGAAAAAATTGGTAGATAAATGGAAATTAATGTTTTTCCTATTCCAGGCTCTTGAACTTTTTTTATTTTGGCAATTTCAAGAGAAAAATTGAACCGGTAAAATAGGAATAGAGAGAGAAATTCCAAAGAAATTGAGAAAAAATTGGTTGACAAGTAGACACAAAATGTTCTATTTCTAGTTCAAACTCTTGAATTTTCTCTATTTAGAAAAAAATAACAAGAAAATGGGAACTCGAGAAATAAGAATGGACAAAAAATTGAGAAATAAGGAGAAGAAATTGGTAGATAAGTGGGATTTTTTGCCCATTGAAATCATCTTTGAAGGTTCTTGAAAAATACTTTGAGCCATCACAGGGATTTGAAACTTTCAGGATTTATTAATTAGAGCTTTTCTATCATATAAAACAAATTGGAAGTTGATATGAAACTCACAATCAAAGGAAGGATTTTTTTACGTAGGTATTAATACCTACCTGAAAAAATTATAAAGTTCCTGTAAAATCATCTTTGAAGGTTCCTGAAAAATACTTTGAGCCATCACAACAGTCTAAAACTTTCAGAATTTATTAATTAGAGTTTTTCCATGATATACAAAACAAGTTGGAAGTTGATATAAAACTCACAACCAAAATTAGGATTTTTTTTACTCATTGATACCTGAAAAAATCATAAAATTCCTGTAAAATCACCTTTGAAGATTCCTGAAAAATACTTTGAGTCATCACAGCAACTTGAAACTTTCAGGATTTATTAATTAGAGTTTTTTCAAGAGCCGGGAATAGATAAAAATAGAACTGGAAAAATTGAGAAATATTGTATATACTGGAGCCATCTCTTGACAAACACGCCAACTACTTTTTTTCAATACTAGAATTCTCACTGTTTGTTTCAAGTCCAATAATCAAGCTCAATCTAATGGCAAAAGATGGCGTTGCTTGAATTCTAATAATTAAAAAAAACTGTATTAAATTTTATATTTTTATTAATTACTCAAATAATTTCTAGTACAATAAAACTTAAATTCTAAAACATCGATATATAATCTTGATGACAAAATTGCAGAATATACAATATTAAGCATAAATCTATTGACTTTTTATTACAAAATGATTTCAAATTTCTTATCAAAATGGATTTTTGTACTGGGATTTTGCTCTGCAATAATTACAAATTAATAAAAATCTTATAACTAACAGAAAATTGAAAAAATACAAACACAAAAGTTTTGTTTTGCTTCTTTGGGGCTAGATTTTATATAAAAATATAATGTTTTGTTTTATAAAAACTAGCAAATTATCAAAAAAGGAAAACAAAAAATAGAATAAAAATTAAAAAAACACACACAAAGTAGAACTTACCTAAACTAAAAGGCACACATATACCAATAATTATAACTTAAACACTAAAATTAATGCCCTAACAAATGATTTTTTTTTTAGTTTTTTTTTAAAGGTTCTTATGGGGGAAAACACACACAAAAAAATAAAATAAAATAAACATGTCAAATTAGCTACTTCACAAAGAAGTAAATAATTCAAAACACAATTAAACAGAAAAAAAAAATCCAAATCAAAAAATAATTGAAATCATAATAGAAACAATAATAAACAAAAAAAGAAAAAAATCAATATTCTGCAGTTTTAATTCGCCCAAACAAAAACGAAAAATCAACAGTAACAATTGTATAACAATATAAACAAATAACAATAATTATTTATGTACAAAATATTTTGTTTTGAAGTAATTTTGTGTAACTTATAAGTGTCTCCTTTCGATGATAATAATGATATTAGTTATTTGATAAAAATAAAACAAAAACTTAACAATCCTATTAATTTGATCTAAATAATTAAGTGAGAAATAAAAAAAAAAAAAATAATGGCATGCAAAAACAAAAAATACTAAAAATGTACTACTACTATATCAAAGGTTGTATTGTGGTATTTTCTAGCTGAATAGTGGCAACATGATTAAACAAATTTGATATTAAAACTCAAAAAGTGGAAGTAAATTTTGAAACGAAAAAAAATAAAGCATGCAAAAACCGAATATGTAATTGAAAAATATGATCAGCTAATTCTACTACTAAAACTCAAAAGAAAATTTCGAAACAAGACAAAAAAAAAAAAATGCAAAAATATAAATAAAAAATGAAAAACTAAAGGCATGCAAATGAACAAAAACAATATGAAAATAAATAAGATAACAGAAGTTTTAACAAAAACAAAGATGAAACAGAAACGTGGCCAAAAGACAAACATGCAAAATTTGATAAAAAAAAAAATGAGTAATGTGGCTTTAGAACAAAAACTAACGACATGCAAATAAACAAAAAACAATTAGATCAAAAAAACAGGACATTAAACTTAACATAACAGAAGTTTTAACAAAAACAAGGATGAAACAGAAACTTAAAAGTTGGGTGTGTAAACATGCAAAATGATTTGAATCAAGGTGAATTTAAACGTTTTTAAAGCTAACAAATAGATATCGCAAACAATTCCTTTTTGAAAAGCTCCAACTATAGAATTAACAACAAACTTCATATGGATGTAACAAAAACATGAATGATTGAAAAAGCTTCAGCAGAATAATTAAACAAAAATGATGGTAACAAGAGCGATCATGTGGCATAATAACTGGAAAACAAAAATGTCTAATTGAAATTCAACAAATAAAAACGAGATAAACATTGTTAAAATACCACAAGTAACACTCATTAATAACAAAATAATTCCACGAAACATTACGAGATTAACAAAAAACTGATAACAAGGTTTCTACCAAACATAACTGGATAAATTGTTTGCGATAAATTAACCAACAATTTTCTAACTACGAATAACTTGAACAAGGGAAAAATTAACAGATAACTGAAACAGAAATAACAAGTAAATGTCTGTTATGTAATGTAAGATGCGAAAGGAGTCTTATAAGTCACGTAAATTGATGTTATTTTGAAAAAGAGTATCTAAGTGCGGCCAAAAAAGCTTGTTTTAATTCTTCTAAACATTTTTGAAGTTATTGTCGTTGCATCAAAATAAGCCAAACAATCTTACGTTTTTCCATTATGGATGAATATAGACATCAAGATGGAGATGCTGCTGCTGTGTCAAAACCATTATATCCAATTGGAATAATCAAAGCTTCTTCCATTTATACGTATATGTATGGAATCATATGGGAGAAAGTAGTTGTTGGTGGCATTTTCTGTAACCAGAAAAATAATAACATTAAAACCTTGTAACAATAAAAATTAGAAAAAAAATAAATTACTTACCATTGATAATTTTTAGCCACCAAATTCCATATTAGATGTTAGTTCAAACTTAACAAAAACTTAACAATTTCCAGGGCCAATAGTCCATTTTTGAGGACTCTGGCCCTGTATAACTTCTCTCTAAGAGAACTTCAACTCGAATGATATCAAGCCCTTGGCAGGGCCGCATTTTATACAGACTCAACCCCTGGTGACTTTATTATGTGAAGGTATGAGAACGTTCCACCCTACCCCGTATATATTAATACAAGTAATTGAATTACTGAGGGGGATTTTGGCGGTTGAAAGATTTTTATTATTGTGCCCGAAGGAAGGCCAAGGAACGAGAGCAACGTGAGAAAAGATTTTTTTTTTCACGATGTCCCTTGTATTTGTAAGTTGATAAGGGCAGATGTTCGGGTTATCGGTAGGTTTTGGTTGAGAATTTTATCCGTTTAACGATTTTTAAAAACTTTCGTATTTTTTCGAGAAATTTCTTTACTCTTTGAGAATTTCGACTGTGCTTCGTTTAGTGGTTGACGTATTTCTTTGATAAATCTACCATAATAGCTTATTGCTCCAAGATAGGAACGTAAAGTGTTGATATCATGGGGCGGTAGCATATTTCTGAGTTTTTGCTGAATCTGGGTTTCAACTTACCTTCACTTAAAATATATCCCAAATACTAAATTTCTCTCCACTCCAAATTTACATTTTTGTAATCTTAAGGTGAAAACCAAACTCTTCTATACGCCTTAGGGCAAGATTTAAATTTTGAAAATGTTCTTCAACTGAATGGCCTGATACTAAAATGTCATCGATATATGCCGTGGTTACTTCCAGACCTGATAACATGATATCCATAACTTGCTGGAAAATGGCTGGGGCAACTTTTATACCAAATGGCATTCTATTGTATTGAAACAATCCATGATTAGTGTTTATTGTTAAATATTTTCTTGATTCTTCACTGATTTCGATTTAAAGGAACGCATCAGAAAGGTCAATGATACTAAAAATTGTAGCATTTTGTAACTTTGAAAAATTGTTTCGACTGTTGGAAGAGGGTAATGACCAGTAGAGTAATCACCATATAATATGACATCTCCGTTTTGTTTCTTTGTAACTACAATTGGTGCTGCCCAATCAGAATATTCAACTAATGATAGGTATGATATTTTTTTCTTGCAACCCTTGAAGTTCTTGGTCAACTTTTTCCATGACTGAATAAGCTACTGGTCTTTTTGCTTTAAAAATAGGAACTGCATATTTTTTTATATGAAGATTAACTTTGGTTTTTTTATAGTGACCTAATGTGAAAGACTAATTTTAATGATTCTGTATTGATGGAAAATTGTTTTGATGGTATGTTCCATAAACCAAATTTTGTGATCCAATCTATACCCAGTAAATTGAGATTAGGTATTGAAGTGTTGAAACATTTACCCTGAAAACTATTTTGTTTGAAGCTTATTGTACACTGAAATTAATTCTATAACCTGAAGCCCTTTTGGCACTATGATTTATGGGCTAACACTCTGGTTTTCCTATATTTGTCCATGTTTCTTGTGAGATAACCGTGATATTTAAAGCTGTATCAATTTGTAACGTGATTGGAATATTATTTGATCTAAAAATCAATAAGTATCATATTCCTGGCTCTACTAGAACTAGAACTATGATTCCTGACAATTATTGAGTTAAAATTGAATCAGAGCAGTTCCAGAGACTCTTTTTTGATTTTTTTAGAACCAAAAATCAACTGGAAAGGCTTGAAAATCTTATAACAAGCTCTTCTCAAATCGAAATTTGAACCAAAGAAGCATAAAAATCCCATTTCTCAGCTCTGAAATGGAAACAAATCTTATTTCTGACCATTCTAGGGTGGTTCAAAAAGATCATGTTCGACTCTAGAACAACTGAAGATCTATCCTAGAGTTAAAACATTGAGTGAAGATGCAGGAAATTTCAATTTCTGGCTCTACTATAGAGCTTAAACTAAACTAGGAAAGTTAAAT